ACCATTTGCCAATCAAGTGGTTTTCTTCAGGGCTGACAGAGCCGGCAGACTACAAAGTTATATGTTGGCAAATCTTCAATTTCATCCCATCGTGGATTATGACTACTGGGCAAGCTTCAAGCCAAACTCATTTCTTGGGATGTTATTTTCTAAATGATATCTGTGTTTGGCTGCGATCTTTTTTAACCACCAAAGCACACTACCCCTACTGATGCTTGATGGACTGATGTCACATCTTGATGCCAACCTCACTGATCGATATATGAGGATCAGCTTCAATGAGCTCATGTTGATGGCTCAAAACATGCCCGGGAAATGCTTTCTCCGTCTCAGAGTCTTCAAGACCTTTCTTCTCAGCGCCGGCCCTTTCAATGGGATGCGCCCATTCAACTTGGAAGGAAGGAACACCACCAGTATCAGTCTATACAATTACAAAATAGAACTATATTCTTATAGTTAAAATATGATCACTTCAAAAGGGCACCTGTGCTATTGCATGTACATGCATGTTCTGCAGTGCATCATACTTTTTGAAACTATCCATCAAAAGCAATATGTATATATAGTATGCTATGTTTCCTTTCAAGCCCTGGAAATTATCCAAAAGTTGTCACAGAATACATACTACCAAGCCTTGGCATAAACATGAATTATACTTTTGAGCAAATTAAAGTAGATCAAAGATGGACCATTAGGTTGCTGACAGTAGATTGAACATTGGCAATGACCTTGAACCTGGTTTTCCTTAGGTGAAAGCCCGCCCATGGTTAAACAGTGATGCACTCACAAGCACTTCACTCACAAGCAAGCAAAGCACATTCTGAAAAATGTGTGGACAATAACACTGTGCACTCTTTTGGACAAAAAACTGTGGGTTGATTGGATGAGTGAATAAATGTGTGGGTGGGCTGTATGAAGAAGTGAATGTGTGGATGGTTGGTTGAACAGAGATGCATGAGAACTGCTGCTGGGATGGAAGGGCAAATGGTGGTGGGAAGGGCTGGATGGGTTACCATAAGTTCGATTGAGGGGCTCAATGAATGTTGCTCAATGATGCTATTTGGAAAACTGGTTGGACTTCAATTGAATGGGATGATTGGAATGTATGTATTGCAGTGAGTGATGTTTGGTTGGCGTTAAATAGGTTGCTACCATGAAACGGGCCAGACTGAATTCAATCGTGGTTGTTCCTAAGCTTGCCACAAGTGTGATTACCTCAGTGTGCCTTAGTGTGACCCTTAGCCCACACATATGCATTATTTCCTGCATGGCCGTGAGTTGGCTTAAGATGAATGAAGTGGATGTTTGAAGCCAAATGCATTCTGAAGCCATTTTTTGCCACAAACACTGAGGTTTGGAGAGCTCATTAATAACTAATCTTCAGCTTGCATACACAAAGAAATATGAACTGAGAGCATCAATGGGAAGCTTGGCAAATTGACAGGACAAAATGAATTGGTGACTAGAAAAGTGTGAATGAAGCTCGAATCAAGGGTGCAATGAGGCAACGTGTGACTGGTGATTGAGAAAGGAGTGTGTGGTGCTGAGGTGTGGCCAGGAAATCTTGAAGATAGAAATAATGATAGATGGGGTAGGCTTGGAAGGAAATGGCATGAGTTGCAATGGGTTGATGGAGTGAAAATCAATACCCAAACATTAAAAAACACCATGACAGTGGTTGACACCTAGTCCGTGTTCAACTTGACAACTGGTTTTGTGGGCGATGACCTTAGCATGCCTTAGTGTGCCTTAGTCCAGAGTCATGCACTCTTTCCTGACTGAACTTAGCCCTTTCCAAATTTGACTCTGAGAAGTGTGAGTGGTTGCAATGCAACTGAAGAAAAGAGAGTATATATATCCAGAGCTGGCACTTGTTTTTTTACAATATATTATATATGGTTGAACTGAACAGTAGTTTTTTGATGGTATGTTCAAAGAAACTCCAAAGTCCTGGATATTCCCAAAGACCTTGGCTATAGAAAATATTTATCCAGCCTGGAAGTATGAGTCCTGCATATGTGCAAGGACTGAAACTAAGTGCTCCACTGGTGTTGCCCCTCCCCCCCAAAAAAAGAAGCACCTGTTCGGTGCTACCCACCTATTCGGTGGAAAGTTAAAAAATATTGCCTTCTTGAAGTTGAAGATGTCTAGTTCCTTAGTGGCCTTAGTACTGCTTCTTTCCTGACAGGGCCTGACAGACAGGTGCATCTCAAAACTGCTTCTGTTTACTTTCCAAATCAAACATATCAATACATTTACTCAAAGAAACTCACACAAAACAAGATCATGGATGTAACATGCCAAACTACATTTAACCTAGTTTACAATGTCTACATTTGTTTTGCTCACAAAGAAGTTGCTACAACCTAGATCAGACAACCTAGATCAGTAAAAATATATATGCCAAACTCTCTGACTGATGACTTGGTCCAATTTGCCTAGTGTCCCCCCCGCTGTTTTGGCTTGACACCTCAAATTTACATTGCTGCAAAGAAACACCATCATGAAGCAACTCAGGGTGTTCAGGAACTCCACCGTAAGTTACAGATATGTGGTTTAAGACTCATAACAAGAAAAAATGAAACTATCACAATCAAAGACCAAACTATCACAATCAATGATCATGGGTTCTTCCCCCAATGGCAGCGCCTTAGCGCTCTACCGCGAACGGTTGCGAACGGTTGCGGACGGTTGCGAACTTAGAAACAACGGGTCACGAACAAGGCTCCACCCCCAGACCCCCAAGAGTTAAACGAGAACCCTTCGCTACGCATTCGGGAAAAAGTTATACTATTTTTGGGGAAAACACCTCAAACGCAACATGGTTAATCAAATTGTGTTTCTTGGGGAGAAGTTATCCTAACAGCTGAACACAACTGACCGCAGCAGTCATATCACGCTCCAGTTTGCATGTGAAATTATGTTTTTGCATATTTTTGCATATTTTCTCAATTTTCTCATATTTCGAGATTTTTCGAGATTTTTTGAATTGTTAAAATGATTTTTCCTTTTATCCCCTCGAGATTTTTTGAGATGTTTCGAGATTTTTTGAGATTTTTTGAGATGATTGTTGCAAAGATGTTCATTTAAACCATTTTTTGCATTTTTTTGCATTTTAAATATCTTATCGAGATTTTACATCTCTTTGGAAAGTCTTCCATTCCAAAACCTCTCCGGTGAAGGTTATTGAATTTTTTTGGTGACACTCTCCTTTCCCCTCCTCTCACCATGGTCCTTCTTGGTCAAACCCAAACCCAATTCCCTCTCGTCCTACCTACGGGCCTCGCTCGCCAGGTTGTTCCGAGAAGATCCCCCTCTCCTGGCCCAACACTGGCGCCTCCTTGGGCTCCTTGCGGCTCTTCAAGGCCTGGGATCCCTCCTGGCCCGAGGAGAGACGGACGGGGTCGCGACCGGGACCGGAGTGCCACCGGGACGGAGCAGTGTCCGGTCTCTCAACTGCGGTGGCACATGCAATGCGCGTCTCCTCCACGCCAACTAGGAAAACGATCTCACAGGCCTCCAATGCTGAAACACCACAACCATATACCCGTGACTTATATTTCACTTATTGCAAGCTGCAGCAAAACAAACCCTTCTTTGCGCAAGCTCCAACAGTCACGAAAGCAGTTCTAAGGCGGCCCTCTCATGAACATCTTTATATTTGCACACTCAATCACTCCGGTTCCTCGATCCACTTGAGTGCACGAACAAAACTCTCCTTCTCTTCATCCTCGGTGGCGCCGATCTTGAACTTCTTGTCCTTGCGATCCGTGCGGTTCTTGAAGCAGCGCCAATTGCCACCATTGCGCTGAACCTTGCCAGCGCGCCAATGGAAAGTCGGATCTCCCTGCTTCATCACCGGCACCTTCTCTGCTGACATTGGGGAGTCGATAGCAGGCGGGAGGTGGTGCCCTTGAGGGTGCAATTCCGCCGCACTTTCATTGCATGTGCCCACCAGTAGGTGACAGTCAAGTCTATGGCTCTTCCCTCTAGCACCAGGAGGAGCGCCTGGAGGCTTGGGGAGCGCTGAAGGGCTTCGTGGAGAAGAACGAGGCCAAGATTCTGATGGGAACGCAAGTGACCTGCGACTCGGAGGTCTGTCAGATACCGGTTTTGCGGTACCTTAAGGTGATGTGTTTCCCCGTATGGCCAAATCCCCTTCCGGGGAATATGCTTTACTTTGTCCAGGTTCCTCAAGCAAATCCAGGTTCCTCTGTCACATTGACTGGTCCACCGATCGCCAGGTTTGTTTTGAGAAGGCAGAGATTCAGGTGATGGACCTGAGGACCCGAGCTGAACCTGAGGCAATGAGACGGACGATGATCGCGACTGGGCCTGGGTCTTGGAGCTCTTGGAATTGCTGGGCCCCAAGCACGTGATGGCACTGGCCGTGGGCAACGAGATGGACCGTTTTTGTTTTTTCGGGGAACCGGAGTGCAGGTGGGTGGACCGAAGGGACACTGGAGCTGGAGGATGTGTTTGATGATCTTTGAGTTCAAGAATCATGCTTTCCCCGAACAGGGACTCTGAAAGAATCTGAAAGGGATGCAGAAGGTATACAGTATCAAGATGTATCAAGTATCAAGAAATGCTCGAACAAACCCAGACCATTCATGTGTGGAATATCGTTGTATACTCGATAGACTCGATAGATTATATGGGGGTCAAATGGGACTATATAATGTATGTAACAAGGAACTATTCCATACATGGATGCTCTGGGAAATGATCGGAATTGTCGCTGTGGAGTGGGAAGATAAAGCTCGGCTTGACCAGGCCAGTGAGCAAAAGTCTTCTTGGGGTGCCCTGACTTGAATCATTGGCTCATATTGGCTCTGTCTTGAAACCGGTCCTAGGGTCCCTGCAGCACATGTTGTAGTGCGAACATGCAGGAATGACATCGGTCCTTACAGGTTGTTTTTTGTTTTCTGAGCTGGCCAATGCTAGCCATTCATCATTCATCCAAGTATACCCAATCACCAATTACCACATATCATAATAGTAAATATATATATATATACGGCGACCATGCTTCTCCTCGCCCCTCTACTCGCCACCCGTCGTATGACTGAGTCCGTTTCACTCGCCACCGCTCACTGTTCACCGGTAACCGGTCGCAAAAGCTCCCCGCGGAGCTGCCTTGACTCGTCCCGGCGGCAGGAGCTGCTGCAGTTCAAGCCACCTGATGTGGTGCCACGCGCGTGCGCTCAACAGATCTGGTCCGGTGGCTATTTCTACCGGAAGCTCACCGAACGCGTGAAGAGTCTCAACGAGCTCAAGGGATTTCAGGAGACGGATCGGCAAGCCGACCGAACGCGCGAAACGGGACGTTGGACATCGGACGTCCCCGCAGGTTCGCCACGTCGGCCACGGTGTGTTGGTCGCGAGGCAAAAAACGGTTGGAGGTGGATAGGGTAAGCGGTTTGTTGTTGATAGTACCAGGAGTCATAGAGCTCGGGGTGGTTTGGCTCGTCCCCTTACGTGAGTGGACGTGACAGGGGTACCCCGACTTCCTCCATGGATAGCACCCCGGAAATGTGACTGCTGGTCAATGAACCTGGTTGATACTTCTGCTGTGACTTCTGTTCCTCCCACGACTGGTCCTCTTTCGGCGCTTGGTCCACCCGGCTTTCTGCGAGCCTGTGAAGTCGTCATGGATCGAAGAGGCACCCGAAGGCAGAGAAGCTAGGATCAGACCACTCCAGGGGGCTGGAATACTTTCTTGGATACTGTGTGGCTATTTTAAAAAATAACTTATCCCAGATACGTTCCAGGAGTGTTTAAGTGTCATTCAATGTATATACATGTATATACCAATATTTAACCTATCTGTTTGACTCCTGTTTGCACAGGAAAACATGTTTGGGATGATTTGTACTCCAAGTGCAAGGTGACAGTTGTGGTTCTTGGTAGGCTTCGCTACAACCTGGTTGACTGCCACCCGGGACAGGATGTTCTGCTGACCAGCGTCTTTGGCGGCTACATCATTGCTGGAAACCCCTTCGTGGACACACCCATGGCCAAGGTCTCTCAGGCAAATGCAAGAACCATTTTTTGGGGTGGCAGAACCCTATAGGGGCAGGTGATTGATTCATGTTTCATTCCAACATGTTTCATTCCGTGACTGTTAGTGGAAATCAATGGAATATTTCTACAAGACTCTGAGCCAAGGTCTTGTCTTTCCTCCAGAACGTCACCGATGACTATGGTGACCGATGGGTCTTCACGCTGAACGTGTATCCCTACTTTGATCCTGGGAATCGCTTGGTGCCTTGGAGGAATTGAAGCAGGTGTCTTCGGAACCTTTTTTCCCTTCATCCATGGGATTGAATACCTGGAAACCCTGGCAACCAGGAACAGATGGTTGTTCCAATATGACAATTGAGATCCTTTCCATCACTGAGCTTGTTCGTGGAAATTCAATGAAATTCGTTTCTGGCTGGGACTGGGGTGCCCAGGAGGTCATTACATGTCATTACAGTATATAGAAATAAATACTATATGGGCTCGCGGACATTTCGGGGCCCCCCTGGAGAGCAATTGTTTCTGAATCATATGATCTAACTTTAATGGTTGTATATGTGTATTGTATTTCATCCTCTAACAAATCAATACTCTTACATGGGCCCTACCTATTAATACATAAATTTTATTGAGTTCCAAGTCCAAGCAGGAGCTCGCAATTTGAACTATTCACTTCCTGTTCACTAAAAAATAACTCAAACAATAGCATCATTCATAAAGGTTATTAAGAATGATTCAAGAACAACGTGATATTGGCTTTATTTGTGCTACAATGGTTCGGGCTTCACAATCACTACAATTTTGCAAAATACATACAATACACCAGAAAGGTAGATATATAGGGGTAGGTATAGATTAAATTTAAATGACCATATATATAGTATATGATATATCTGTGTGGAATCTGTCGAGCCTAGGAAAAAAAGGTAGAAAAGACATATCCCAAACCATCGATTTTGGACACGTTGTTTTTCAGTTTTCCAATTTGTATGTATGTTTCAAGTTGTATGCTTGCTCAATGCAACTGTTTCAGCATCTGCATCTACTATATAATGCTATACTTATAGTTGGGCGCGTTATTTGTCTATTGTCTTTTATGGTTTACAGGGGGCCCTGAAAAGCACGCGCGCGCCCATATACAATGTGTGTGTGATTACATATAATAATCTATGATCAAAACTTAATGGAAGATTCACTTGATCCAACCAAGGCACAGGTCGAACCAAAGAGAGAGCCAAAACACCTGCAATGTTTTTTTGTGTCGACCTCGGATCTCGAAACTCTTCGGATCTCGCCCGAACTGAAGGAGTCCTTAAGGAGGTGAATCCGCAGGTCAAGGTGAATCCGCAGGTCATCGACCGATGTCTGGTTTTTTTTCAGGATCCCAATAGTACCTCCGGATGCTCCAGCGCCTTGGAGACACTTGGCCTAGACGGAGACGCAGACGGTGAGGAGACTATGGAGATGGGGAGGTCATGTTTCCTCTCCCGTAATCCCATGGGCCTTGTGTGTGTGTATGTGTTTGTGATGACTTTGCAAATCTTTAGGCAACAGAGAATGTGGGTGGGTAGATTTCAAGTGGTTCATTGAAGTTTATTGTTCTCTCCAGACGAAAGAAGCATTCCCACTTTTTTGTCTGCAGTTAAAGACTCTTCATGGATGTTTATGGATCCACCAATCGACACATGCTTTTGACCCACTGCCACACCGAAGCTCCACGTGACCGACCTTCCCCTCATCAAGCTGGTCTCCATCAGTCGTGATGGTCGGTTCTAGGAGACCCATGTCTACTGTTACGCCTCACAGAGGAGCAGAACCTACAAACTGGGATCTTCGAGATCATGGAAAGATGCTGATTAGTCACAAGGCCCTGCTAGTGTTTGGGGGGGGCCCTTTACTAATCAAGATCCAACATTATTCGAAACATTGATATAGTTTGTAGACTCTTGAATAACAACCGCCTATATATTTGAATTGAAACACCTTTCAATATGGGGTGGTTATTAATGCAAGACCCGAAGAAGCTGTTCATATCCCCCAAGTCCCAAACCACCGCGAATTTCCCGTTTTCACACCATGCCTTTCCATGCGGCAATCGTTATGCTTGGAGCTTGAGGAAATCCTTATGCTTTGATGGCCCGGGCTGCCTCCTTCCATCAATCACCTCCACCATGCGGAGATCTATGGAGAAGTTGACCGGAACGAAGTCTGGCCACTTTGGCAGAGAGAGGGAGGGAGTGACGGGGTGAACCCTCAGCTGATGTGTTTTTGTTTTTTAATCAACCACTCATTGCTAAGCAAGCTGGTGTAATCAGATGCCCCTAAGCAAGCTGGAGGATGGTCTTACTACACATGACCAGATGTAAGAAGACAAAAGCCAGATCCTACCAGGACCATCCTGTCGGGGGTCACCGGAAGCCCCCCAGACCGACTTGGTAAATCGACACCCCTTGGACACCACACACCATACCTTGGATGGTCCAGGTCAGGTTGTAGATGGTGGACAATCTCCAGAGTGGGTAGGAAGGGGATGAACTCCTGAAGAGGCTCAGAAGACCAGGCCATGTGTGGCGCTGATCAGGGCATATCAGAGCAACAAGTGCAAGAAAAGATCCAGGAGCAAACAGGACACAGAAAGGTCGAAGAAATCCCTGTTTGCTCATGTTCGTCCACATGTCATGCATATAGGGGCGCTACAATTTGGTAGACCTTGCATCACTTATTATACATGCAGCCATTGTCATCGTTGAGAATCTATTCTGAGAGACTTCCTGGTTTTGCTTAAGGTGCTTTTGTTCCCCCGTAGGGTGAATTCCCCTTCTGGTGAATATGTGTTTTATCCTTTTTCGAGGTGCGGAAACCAAGCAAATCCATGCAAATCCATGCGTGATGTGTGCTTTCTGAGGCAAACTGTGGCTGGGGGAGACCGGCTGGTCCTACCCTCAAGCGTCCACCCTGCCAGGAGAGGCTTATTGTCTCGACCAGTCGAGAGGGTGGAATGTGTAGAACGTCTAGGCCCTGCAGGGGACCATGTTCCTTTACAACAAAATATCCTTCCAGGGATTCTTGGAGAGAGGGTAGCAAAGACCAATTTCAGCTTAGCTCTAGCCTTCAGGCTATTAGTTGCCATGTTGCACGATCGGATGAGGCTGATGTGGCTGCGAGATTGTTTGAGGGAACTCATCATGCACCCAATGTCAGAATGGGTTGAGGATGTTTTGAGACCTCATACAAGGCTCAGAATGCCTCATTCCGGCCAGATTGGCCTTTTGAATCGTGGATTTGGTTGGTTGGTTGGTTGGTTGTTTTTTTTGTGGTCAGCCTTTGTGGTCGATGACCTCGTGACAGGTCCCGAGTGTTTTGCTGAGTTTTGTTCGGTCCCCACATCTCGATGATGCACAGCACGGGTGAGATGGGCGCTCCTCTCAAAATGTTGGAGTTAGACTCGAAATGGCTACACAAGTTCTTCACACAGAAGTGCATTATTGTGTATATGTGTATATGTATATGTACTTAGAGATGGAATAACTTTCATTCATCTATTTTGTTCAATCGTTCATTCATTCCTTCATTTGTTCATTCATTATTGCATTCATTTCTTCATTCATGTCTTCATTCATTCATTTGATTTTTCATTTGTTCTTTCATTAAGTTGCTTACTTGTTCTTTCATTCATTCCTTCATTCCTTCATTCATCATCATGGACTCCGTTTTGACCTGTTTTGACCTGTTTTTGTTTGGGTCTTCTTCGTTTTCGGTGCTTGTCCGCTCCACATCTTCCGTCTTGCACCCTCACCGACCAGCCGAGCCGACCTGATCAACCTTCTTTGTGAGGGGCAAATGCTCAGATGGCCAAGTGCAAGAACTTCTCCTCAGAGTTGGCCTTCCGCACGTGGCTTGGAGCGCGCAAGCGAAGTCAGCGCGCAAGCTGCGAAGCTGTTGGAACAGCTCTTGGAACCGGGAGCCAACCAAGCAAAATAGGAAGAGGTGTTGCAATCCATTTTGGTGGGTGGGTTTAGTACTCAAGAGTCTACAAGAAATATTTTAAGAGGGGGTTGAGGTTTCATTAGGACGTGGTTTCATCCCCTTTGAGCCAGGATCGATGGTAGATGGAACCTTCTAGAACCTGTGGACTAATCCCGTTCTTTAGGAACATTTGGAGGTCATGAGACTGTGAGTAGAGTCTGTCTTCGGAAAAGGCCATATATAAACTGTGGGGATGGGGGGCACTCGCTTAGCCAGCATTGAGTCAGCGGGGTCTTGATACCACCACCCTGGCAAGTCTTTCCAGCAGTCTTCATGAACCCTCCCAGACCCACCAAGCAATTGGTTTGAGCTTAATTTGATCACTTAAAAGGATCTCATCAAGCATGTAAAGGTACACATCGAACATGTTGGAACCCAGAACGAGCAGTTGGCCGGCAAAGGTTGCAAAAATCCTCTCAATGTGTGTGTGTGTGTGTGTAACTGTCGGGGGTTGACTTGGTTAGAGGAAGTCAATGTCCAAGGCCGGAACCACGGACTTTCAGAAGCGTTTATGTGTATCCATTTATTTATTGAAAGAATTGCCACTATTTCCACACAGAGTTGCACATCTTCCACTTGGCGCAGAACTCCTTCCACAGTATCACTCAAGACCTTTGTGCACGTGTGGAGGCTTCGCGCACGAACCAGGTACTATCAGAACTTCCTGAAGTGGAACCTCAGCATCGGCACGGATGAAAGAGGTGCCTCAAATCCTGCAAGATCGAGAAACTATCCCTACAAGTCAAAGACCTCATTTTGCTGAAGTTGGTCATACAAAAACACGATTCAAGAAGGGAAAGGACCAGGTTTGCTGGATCTTTGGACTTGTAGGGTATGATGCCAAACACTTTCAATGTGATCTCTGGAACAGACAGTGCCTGGCCGTTTCGGACGATTTTCCGCCTCCAGAAAATGTGTCAATAGGCCGAAGAACCTGCCATGAAGAACACTCGGTCTTTGCAAATTGCATCTCTGCCTGTCACGTCAACATCTTCAGGTTGCCAGAACTTGTGGAGGGTACACGGATTGGAAATAATCATGGTTACATGGATGACATGGCCCTTGGATGACCGTTTTCCGGTGGTCAGGTCTTTATATAAACACATCCAAGTGAGTGCAGCTGAACACGGTCGAAGTCGAAAGTTATTTGGACTTGTAAGCCCAGAAGAAAAAGTCCATATTATTTGAGTGCTTGTACATGTTACCTCGCCATTTGAGAATGTTTGTCCGAACAATCCTAAATGGAAACTTTTAAAAATAAGTGTGTTTCTTCTGACTGAAGTGTTTTTTTGTTTCAAGTGTGTCTTCAATCATCCACACAAACCACAAATCAGATCGTCGTCACGATCGCAGGCCCAGACCACGTCTTCTATTTCACCCTGAGGGATTCGGTGAACTTTGGTGTCGGTGAGCACTTTGGGCTCATCGAAAGTTGCGACAGCGAAAGCTGCAAGTTGGAGGACGACCACGACGTCCGGGTCTTGGTGTAGAGCACAGTCTGAGAGGGGATGGTTCCGTGGCGTGACCATGGTGAAGCAGGGAATGAACATGAGTCAACATCCGATTCTCCGTTTCTCCCATGGTGTTTGCGGGATTTGCTTTGCCATGCTCCGGATGGGTGTCCATCCATTGGACAAATGGATCTGAGGCGCTGAACTCTTGGATGGGCATTTTCAGAGATGTTGTTTGCTTGTCAGGTCTTTCAATTCAATTCCTACTAGCTTCTTGTTCCTAGTAGTAAGGCCAGGAGCTCCTAGTAGCGTCTTTGTTCCTAGTAGCGATGCCCTTTGCTCCTAGTAGCGATGCCCTTTGCTCCTAGTAGCATATAGGTCTTTCAAGGCCAAAGGTGGGAATTGTTGGTTTGATCGACGTAGGGGAGAGAATTCAGAATGACACATCGGCGGCTTTCCATCTCCCAACTCTGCTTTACAACATGCCCAGATGCCCAGCCCATGGCAGCCCGAAACAGGTCGCATGTTACGGTTCCCCCAAGGAATCGCTTGAGAAACGCGGTCGGACAGCGAAGCAGTCCGACCACCAGCTCCAAATTGTTGGAGGCTTAAAGGTGAGGCCTTTTGGGCAGTAACGCTTGGGCCCGTTTGGTTTATGAGTCGTTCTTTCAAGCGCCGATCCAGAAGGCCGAAAAAGACGCTAGGAAGATTGAAGAGTTCGAGCTTACACCAGCGAATGTATATCATTCCAAACCACCATTGATTGAATGGTTCTTACCGAACAACCCTTGTGTTACTGAGGATTTTAGACTATATAATACAACCAGGTCAATAGCCATTTTGTACATGGTCTTGGAAGGATAGAGGGTAAACAAACATCCTTCAAGCGGGAGGAGGGACTTGCAGCATGTAGCTGCTCAAAGGGCCTGGCAGCGCGTTAGCCTTTTGCAGATTTCGCTTGCTTGATGCGAAAAAAGAAGAATGAGCGGCTCCGCCTTTCTGAACCGATTGTGGCGCATGGTGACACTTTACTACAAGCAAAACATATTTTTACTATATATATACTACTATATTTATGTACTATATATAGAGATAAATCCCTTCAAGCAGGAGATGCACAAATCCATTCTCAAGGTTTTAGATGTTTACTATTGTGTACTCCTCTCTTAAAATATTGTGCCATCCTTTTTACATTTAAAAACTAACATATATGATACACATGACCCTTTTACATTTTCTATGTGATCAAAGGACCTTGAGTCGAGGTCACCGACCGGCGAGCTGGGCGGACCCCCTGGGCTGGGCACTGGCCTTACACCTGGCGCCCGGCCACCCGAGCTGGGCACTGGCGCGGGGGGAGTCTGAGTGGTTTTTCCACTCCAGGTATGAAAGCACCATGTGTCTTGAGCTTTCCAAAAAGACATGGGACTGGTGTGTGAAGCTTTTTTTGCAGAGGGAGAGTGAGTGAGACTCTGCTTCTTCTGGTACTGAAGAAAGTAATAAAAGACAAACATGGGGCACCGTGTGCGTGAAATGCCTTTCCTCTGCGATGGTTAGGAAGGGGCCCCTACCTTTCCTCCACCGCATGTGTTTCCATGTGGTTCCATGTCTTTGGACACGGGTCCGCGCAACCAACTCCGGCAGAGTGGTCCTACACCCCACACGATGGAGCAATCTGTTTGATCCCTTTGGTCAGTCCCGGAGTCGCAGATGTCACGCGATCGACCGAGCAGCTTCGATCTGGTCTCACCCTCGTTGGGCCTCACCGAGCCATCCGTTCGACGCACCGCTCCTTGTGGAACCGGAGACGGAGCACCCCTCAGCCCCAGCCCAGTAGAACCGGCTTCAGCCACGACTTCCGCCCCGGCCCAGTTCAGCGAGATTCTCAGCCACTGGGACCAAGTCCTGCAGGCGCGGGTCTGACCGGTGGACCGGTGGGGGCCGGGCCGGTGGTCGGCCATTGGCAGTGTCACAGTATGTTGCGTTCATAGTTGCAACGAATACAGACCTTCCACATGCAACACGAGCACTTTTCCTGCAACAATTCCAGGTGAGTGTGGTGAAGTGGACATGTTACAGCCTCCAGACTCGCAAGTGACCAAACGACCATTGTTGTCACATGCAGAGCGCGTTCTTCCTGTAGATCTACAGGACAAGTCTTAGATCGGTGCGTGCCATGGTGTGTGTGTGTGTGTTGGATGTGTGTTGCATGCAACTTGCATTTTAAGCACATGCGACTTGCACCTACTTCCAGAGGCCAATGCTGGCAAAGTGCTGCGCCACCCAGTCCACCACAAACGCGGTTTGCCAAAGCGCTGCCTCTTTCGACATGAAGCCAACAAAGGTGTCCAAACTGCTGCACATGAGATAGAACTAAGAAGATTGCATGCGCTGCCTAAAAGGGGGTCGCCTGCATGCGCTGCTACGGCCATTGGCGTCCGGTGGACCCGTGGTTCAGTAGGGCCCACGTCAATGGCCTACATGTTGGTCAACTCGAGCGGGCAACCTTCTCCACGCTGACACTGAACCGAAAAGCCTGGTACGACTACTGCAAGAGCAGTTGCCAGTACTTGAGTTTTTCCATGCTTTTCCCCAGATAGCTGAGAACCGTAGAGTTTCTTCTCAGTGACGGGGGGTTGATCTTTGGTGGGTCGATGCCGGTGTGATGTTGTGAGTTGTTGGGTTTTTCAGCCGGTCGCCGCTCCCAACAGCGCTCCCCAACCAACGCCAGTCCTTGGATCGCCTCAGCACCTACACCGCCGAGCGTGCCGGAGACGGCAAAGCGGCCTGCTGCCGAACGGAACGTCACGTGGCTACAAATCAACGGGTCGAAGGTAGGGAAAGATGGGTCAGAGGAGGAGGAACTGACACCTCCAAGTGAACTTTCAGGCAACACATCTGGCACCTTTCCTTGGAAACGGATAGCGCACGGCTGGACATCCAAGCCGATTCGGAAATGCCAACCTACAGCAGGTTTGTTCTATATGTGCAAGTGGAATGCTTGACACTGGAAGAGTGGATTTCCATCATAGATGGCCCTTTATACTGGTAGCACCTGCTAGCTTGATTTGTAGAGGGGATGCCTTGAAGTGTACCGAATAATTAGGCCATTCGGCATGTGGAGCTCCTCCCATTGACCTCTGTATGATTCTAGTCGCCTCAGACTCGGATCCATTGCTCCCCTCGGACCGTCGGACCAGGCCCTCTTCTGTTGGGGCAGACGCCTGAAGGGAGCGAGTGGCAAGCACTGCGGAAGCCAGGCAAGCACTGTGGAAGAGTGACGGTCGATGTTCGGCAATCATGGGCCTCGGGATGGCCCCTGGGTGTTGGAGTCAGTATAGTGGGCTTGGGATGGGTTTGGGAGTCGTGTTCCAAAAGGAACATCTTGGAACAAGGTGAAACTTAATCTTTCGTTTGTGAACATCGCTTTGCGGAAGTGATTCGAGAAGACAAGGTCTGGGGATGCCCAAGTGTCGCTCAGAATGTAATATCACACAGTATCCTATAATAGTGATATAGATATTGATTGTACGATATGATATTAGTAAAGAGAAATACGTATACTTTAACAGTCATTGGTAGGTTTGGTGGGTTAAGCTCAGCAATTGAGTTCTATGAGTCTTTGAGCAGCCCAAATTCTTGGACGTGTTTTTCCCTGTCCCCGGCACAGTTACATGCTAGAGACCTGCTCATCCGGTCCAACTCATCCGGCAGCGGGTGGATCCAAGCGCAGCTCTAGGTGGATATCCCTGCCGTCCTGCAGGAGTTTCGCTGGAAGCAAGGGAGCTGCAGGCGGCAAGTCAAGTTCCAAGCGACTCTGGCAAGTCCATCCTTACATGTTGATTCTTCGTGCATTGTTTGGACACCCCGCATAAACATGGCTAATGTTTTATGAGGCCCTATCACTTTTGGGGATGGAATTCGTCGAATCACTGGAGGGGGTACTGGTAGTATAAGAATGGATAGGTAGACGATTCAGCAGGTCTTCTGCTCTCACTGGTCCTATTTGCTGCACTCAAACACACTTTGAAGTCGTTTTCCTACCCAGTGGATCCCAAGGCAGCCACTAATTACACAAGGAACCAGGGTTTCTATAGGTCTACAGTTTTAAAAGTCGTCAGTCTAATTAATAACCACCCGTTACTACCTAGTACGTATTTAATAATGCCTACTGGATCTGGATCTAGGTAGGATTCCTGTCTCCACGGAACCTACCTATCGACCTTCGCGATCGACCTCGTCGGGGTCGTCCTCCGGTTCCAGGTGTCTGCGAGCCTTCCGGAAGAACGCTCCCAAGGCGCCGGGAGGGTGAACGGAGGTGGTCCGGACCGTAAGGAGGGCTGTCTGACCGGGTGTTTTGGATCGCCTCACGCGGCGGCTGGGCTGCTGAAGCCGTGCGTGGCCAGGGGATGTTCGGAGGTTCGGGTGGCTTGAAGAACGGGTCCCAAACCGGGTCAAGACCTTTTCATTGAATGGTCGAACAGAAGGTGAAAAAGGGGTTTTGTAGCATTGCGCCAAGAAGAAGACTCGCAGCTTTCGTGCATGGCTTTGGGATCTGTTCGGGGGGGGAAGGTCTCGTTAAATGCCCCCGCCCCGTTTGGGTGAACCATCGGAAGGTCTCTGACGTGTTCAACTTAATTTCGCAACATGGTGTGAGCTTTCCATGCTCCGTTCAAGCGCCCCCCTGGTCTTTCGGATCTTTTGACAGCTCACTTTGGCTGATGGTTGAGTGACTCTTCATTGAATTAGCATGTGTTTTCATGCGCAAATATGCACAACCTTTGGCCAACCGAAGAACACAACGCAACGAGCTCTGTGATTTCCTACTGGACCTACCCTACCCTCCACCAGACCAACAGACCTAGTTGTCAAATCTGCTTTGATGTTGTGATCTTTGTAAAAAGCTTGAGAAACTGCATAGTGTTTACTCGGCCAAGAAGCCACCATTCCCTCCCCCTCCCCTCCCGAACTCGAGACTCTCAGTCCGACTTCACGCGAATCGGCCGTGAATCGGACATCTACGGACGACTTATTCAGCAAAGAGCTTAGTGCCTCAACGAGTTAATGCAAACAGTCGAAACCTTGAGAAGACGCACCATATGGTGCTTCTTGGGTTTTGTTTGCTGCTGCTGCTGCTGCTGCTTTAGTATTTAGCTAGTTGAAGTCAAATTTCAACACCTGTAAAGTGTCCTTACTGTGGTTTCTCGTGAACAGTCATCAGTCAAAACAACTCATGAACCGTCATCCTGTCACCCCCTAGCCTCAGTGAACTGCGACTCTGTGCCAAAATCGCTGCAATAGCCGATCTCACTTTCGCAGTACGTGGAGAGTGCGGCCACTTTGCTTCCGCAGTCCAGTTTCACCTGTTGGTCTCCAAGTCCAGTACAAAAAAAACAAAAAGCTACTATACAAATTACATTCAAATGTTCCAACCCCAACCTGATGAAAGATGCATTCATGTTTGGCACTCAACCCAGCACTGCCAATGATTCCCAGTGGTAATTGTGTCGTCACAATTCTGGGTGTTGATGACCACTCCTCCAATCAACATCGTTACAGGCGTCCAATGCGTCCTGTTCTGCATCGCTGGTGGATCGTTTCGATCCTCCAATGTCAGATCGATTCTTCGCTTACCCTTGAGATCGATCGGCATCCGGTCCGCTCAGGATGTCTAAACATGCCAAATCCGCCACGATCGATCCTGCACAATCCTTTGACAGATCGCATCGCATCGCTGCAATTATCTCCTCAGCAGCAGTGACCATGGTGACGGCCCCGCCGCCGGCCGGCCCGATGCCGGTCTCATACAATATACAGTAAGCGGCAAGTCGCGTACTGGTGAAAAGCCGATGGAATGGGAAGAACTGACTGAACCCTCAACTGCCTCCCGACCGGACCCACTGACCTGCTGCAAACAACTAAAATGAGGTGCTAAGTGATGTGCTAAAGTGATTGAAACATATTGAAACAAGTCTCCAGTTTCAATCGAGCACGTGACCAAGTCGCCTCACTCGGAACCCCAATGCGTTGACGCTCCAAATCTGTTTGTTATTTGTGAAGCGATCTTTGGCCCCAGAAGGAAATGCACCGAACGCTTCGCCTCACTCTTCCAGATTGGCAGCATTGGCAAGGAGCCTGCCAGTGAGTAAAGCTTCAAGCAATCCAGCGAGAGTGAATTGCCAATCTCCACCTTTCTTGGCCTTCACATGTCTATTGTCAGCGCAGGAACTGTCCTCAACTGAGTGAGAGGAGTGATCTAAGCTGAGCTGGGGGCCCACGATGAAGGTGTAATAATGGGGCGGGCTATCAAATCAACATGTCAAAAACAAACATATCCTTGAGTGAACTTAAACTTAAACTTGGACACGAGTCAAACAAATCCAATCGAAGTTTGCCAAGTCTCGAAGAGGTTTCGAACATGACTCAAATAGCCATGCGCAGCTGCCTTGACTGTTTCATCTTCAAAGTTATTTGCAGCATCCTCCAGCGCCTGGATTGCCGCCACATGTGGTGCTAGCTGATCCACCTCCATGCCATGACATTCTCACTTTCCTCTTTGGGCCATGTCAGTGGCTGCGTCTGGTACCCTGAGTACCCTCCTCCACCCACCAGCAAACTTATGAGTCAATTTAATTTGAACAAATTGATTCGGACCCCCTCAGAAACGGTTGCAACACTTATTGGGATTCCATATTCCCAGACACTCCACTCATGCAATTCAACACTTGCAACCCTGCAGTCTCGAAACAGAAAATAGATTTCACAATCAGCCAAACTCACAACCGGCCAAACTTAGATCCTGACTCCCAGATTCTTTTAAAAGATCAGACATCCCACACATGCAAATGTGAATTTCAACCATCTCAGCCAAACCTCAAGTTGTTGCACAATGCACGGAGTCAGTTCATTAACATAAACTGAGCTGGGACCGTTCTTCCTAGCTTCTTTCGCCATGTGTTTCATGGTAACCTAATGAGACCTAATGTCCACCATGTTCAGCTTGTGTATCTTTCGCCTCTGAGCGCTTAGTTTGCGACACATTTTCCGGAAAGAACTCAGCACTTCGTCTTCCACGGCCGCGAGGCACCTCGCGCGACCACGACGCCCCCGTGCCCCGCTCGGTCGGCTTCCCCGACGGGCCGCTTCCGCAACGCGCGCTCGGTGAGCGGCCGCGGGTGCTGGTGGAGCGACTCGCACGGGAGGCACGGGAAGAAACGGGAAGAGAAGTGAGGCACTAGAGGCGCTGGGAGGATCCAAGTTGATGTAGAATTTTGATGACTATAAGCCAGTGTCCTGTATAATGCTTGAAGCGTAGATGTTGATCCTTTTTTGGCAGGTATCGGGGAATCGTTCGGACTGAAGGATTCACAGGGAACTATAACGCGCTTTCGGCAGATGAGAACTCTCATGAATTGCATTCAACATGAGGTTTCAGATCACAACACCAGTCTTTCTTTTCTTATTATACCAGTGTCTTCGTGACACGTGACCTTTGGGGGGGACCTGGTTGGTGACCGTTTCCAGGCCTAAGCAGAAAAATCAAGTTTGGTCACATGTCTCCCGTCCGGGTTCGATCCCATTGCGACCAGTCAGCTACCCCAGGGTTCACCTCGTGGGGTTAGGCCAGTCACACAAAAAACAGAAGGCAACCTGGAACCTACAAGCCACCACTGAAACCTGGGAGGTTTTCGACAAACCTAACCAGGATAATGATGTCAGATTGATAGAATGGTCGACTGAGTCATCCACCGTGGAGCAATGTTTGGGGCTTCAGAAGGCGTTGCGTGTCAGGAAGCATGTGGTGTGCTGCAGCTGATCGTGAATGCTTGGAGAGAGGCGGGTTTGGCGGACACTCCAAAGGATCCATTACTTGATTACTGTAATGCATCTTAATGTGTTCTAATCCCCATGCATACAAGTTCCCCCTGCAGATCAAGGAGACTAAGATTTCGTCCTCTCAACGACGTGGAGATGAAAAAAAAACACGGATCAAATGCAAAAGATGTCAAAATCCTTGGGAAGGTGTTGCTGACTCTTTCAACTTACAGGGGCTTGGTTGGAACATGTTGGAACACGACCCCGGCTTCGGAGGCCCCCTGGTGTTAGAAGAGCAGCCTCCCTGGGGTCAAGAGTGGCCTTCTCATGCACGACGAGCTTCAAGACTGGTGCATGCCATTGCTGGATGTTTGGATGCCAAACGTCGGTGCTATGACCGGTGCTATGGAGTTTATACCACATGTTTATACAACATGAAGCGGCACGCATGGGGCTTCTGAAGTCATGCCTTTTTTCGGGAACACGACTTTTGTCAAGCAAACATTGTTGTATCAGTGGGGAGCTCACTTCTTACGTAACTCATGCGTATCTAGCCACGACAACTTAAAGCGGGCGCAAGGGTTCTGCTCGTTGAGGGATAATTAATTAGTGTGAAACACACCTTACAATGCGGTCTAGCCGCTAGCCCTATCGAGTTCTGTTGCGAACTGGGTAATTTGTGTTTTTTTTGTGGAAATCATGGGGGGCAGCCATCGAGAAAGTGTTTTTGTTTTTACAATGTTTTACACAGAACGAACAGTTCGCCGTGGAGCTTTTTGGGCGCCCATGGATATGCAAAGTCGTGGATCAAATCCCCAGACACTCCATGGGACTGCCATATATGCCTACATTGACCCCCAAAACCACCCCAACTGATCGGCATATATGGCAGTCCCATGGAGTGTTTGGGATCAGTGACTCCCTTTCTTCACCACGAAGTGATCAACGCCGAGGTCGGCGGAGCCGTCGGAGCCGTCGGAATCGCCCCGTCGCCGACATCCCATGAGACTCGTCTTTTTCGACCGTAACTGGTACCGAAATGCTCATCCATTTTTCCGGACGACACCCCCAAAAAGCGCCACAGCTTGGCAGAAAGTCCTAGATAATTCGCGCTGTTTTCCACCGCTTTTTTGCGGCCAATCTGCCAGGAAGTATGTGGATCACCGTACTTGGGAGCTTTTCGGGTTGGTTTTCCCAGGTCCAACAGGTGGAAGAACCGTTCCAGACGTTCATTTTTCCGGGAACCCGTTGTCGATCGCTCGGGATGGGGAGACGGGTCGATTCTAGCACCACACGCTTAAGGCATGTGCAGCTATGGAGACGCAGAGCACTGCACACTTCTCCCAGACTGTTCCTTTTTATGTTACTCTTATTTACTGTTCATAGCCTTTTCATCAGAGTTCTTCAAGAAAACATCCGATCTGGAAGAGTGACACGATTTAAGGGCAAGCATCACATGAGTCGATATTTGTTTGGTGTTTCACGATGGATGTTATGTTGCAGCGTCAAGATGATGATAGGCAGTAGGACACAGACACCATCAGACACCCAACACCCAAAGTGAAGTCAATGGGGCAATTCTGGTTTGCTAAGAGTTTTTAACACTTGCTCGAACATGCTAAAAAAGCACTCCACATCTATAGTACCCCCCCTTCTGTCGCTTGGTTTCATGCGCGGGTGGACAGGAGCGCTGGAAACAGGGGCTGCGGGCGAAGGTCTCGCCGGGTTTGTCGGCGAAGGGCCATGTCATGTGCAGAACGAGATGGGAAGACCTGGGAAGACCAAAAACCAGCCCAGTGAAGCACAGATTCTCCAAATGAGATGGGCGAGAGTATTTTGCTTTCATGTACAATGTACATCTCAATATCTGAATAGAGACTGATACAAATGCCTTGGGCTACAGAAATCAAGCTGTTGTGCTACCAGATGTTGACCAGACCGAAGGCAACTGGTCAAAGGAAGGTCATTTTACATAGAATCTATCTCGATTTCTCTTTAGCACCTTAGTACTATAGAGCCTGGAGCACTCCCCCGACGGCTTCTTCCGGCACCATCCAAAGCGCTTTCGTGAACCAATCCTGTGCGTGTTTGGGAGGTCACGTTCGGTTTCTTCACGTAGCGTTCTTGCTCCTAGTAGCGATGCCATTTGCTCCTAGTAGCGTTCTTGTTCCTAGTAGCGATGCCCGGGTTCCTAGTAGCTTCTTGCTCCTAGTAGTATGGCCAGGAGCCCCTAGTAGCTTCTTGCTCCTAGTAGTAAGAATGCTCCGTTCGTAGCGATGCCAGGAGCCCCGATCGTAGCGATGCCCTTAGCACCGTTCGTAGCTTCCTTTTGGTCGTCCTCATGTCGCCAGGCCGTCCTGATGCAAAATGCCTTGAAATCCGAACGAGAGAAGCTTCGCAGGCAGGTCCCGTGCCGTGCCGTGCTGGGACCTTCACCGGGCGCACTGGGACAGGTGGGTGATGCATGAGAAAAAAGGTTGGGAATTGGGATGTCACATCACATCATTTCAGATCATTCCAACTGGATAAATCATTAAAAATCACGATATATCACGATAAATCAATCTTGATTGGATGGTCATGGTATGTCATGGTTTGTGCTTGCATGCTGCGGGGGCCACAAGACATACAACTCAGGACTTTTCACCAGATCCATCAGAAAATTGTGTCAGGTGTCCACATTCTCCTGCACTCTAACAACATCTACCTAGGACACCCATTCGCATTTTGCCGGACTTGACCTATCCGACCCAACAGTCATGACATCGCTCAGGCGGGTGGCCCTCGCAGACCAGGTGGGGGGGTGGAAAGGGGTTTCACCCATCAGACCTCCCCCAGCGTGGATGACACTGGTCATAGGACCATATGCGACTCCAAGGAATGTTTGAAACCTTTCTTGACCCTCCCAACATCTCCCTGACCCTCCCAACATCTCCCTGACCCTCCCAGCATCTCCCTGACCCTCCCAACATCTCCCGACCCTCCCAACATCTCCCGACCCTCCCAACATCTCCCGACCCTCCCAACATCTCCCGACCCTCCCAACATCTCCCGACCAATCGCTTAATGTACGGTTGCTGCACTCCGCGTTGAGCGCCATGTGTTCTCCACGGAAAGACTGGTTCGCATGGGCATGGGGGTCGGGGGAGGAGTGGTAAATCACCACTGTTGGTTCACCCTCAACTCCCGGACTCTTGAATGAACAAGCATTCCAAACAAGCACCGTCTTTGTTGACGATTGAACATGACATAACAGTAAGGACATGCATGAAGCTAGGCTTGTTGGAGGATGTTCGAAGCTAGCATGATCATGCATGAGTTGAAAGTCGTTCCTCTCCATGTTGGATTTGGAAGAGTTTGATGTGTACCTCAAAAACTTGGGAGTCTGGCCTTCAGGACGTCATCGGTTCATTGGAACACAAGCATGTGAGGCGACCAGTTGCCACGTGTTGTGTTGGCCCTGGACAATCATGGAATTGGAAGGCCGCTGGTCATCGCAGGGGGCATTTTCCAATCCACTTCGATGCTCAGGGTAGATCCGGAAAAATAAAGGTGCCATTTTCGAGAATTGGGGTTTGTCGAAAGAGAGATGAGTAACTGCCATTCAGGGTGAAATTGCTCAACTCCATTCGCACCGGTCTTCGTGTACCAGTCTTCGCACCGGTCTTCGCGTTTGGCGAGATCTGGAGATGGTCTTCGAACAACAGCATCGGTTCAGGTCCTGAACTTGTCAGTTCCAGGATAGGCCGGCCACCTGCTTTGGACACTTCCAGCCCACGATCTTCGCGAACACCCAAAGATCGCCATGCAGAGATTGATATAGGATGATAAATAGTTCTCTAACAGTTTATAAATAGTTCTGAGCTGAATGAGATGCATTTGAAATAGTCCTGGCTCATTTTACAAAAATTCTCTGGGAAATTTAGAAATAGTCCTGCAATTCTCACAGAAAGGTAAAATAAAGAGGCAAACGCCACAGATCAAGGGATATATCTTAGGTAATCCACATCAGAGGGGGTTGAGGCGGGGTCCTTCAGCTGGATCTCGAGAGTCACTACATGTCCCAAACTTCTCCGCCCGCGGATCCACGGACGCCAAACGAGCGACCTGAAGAATGTCCGACCGAAAGCAAGGAAGGCACTCGAAGCTGCAGGATGTTTTTTTCGACGTCTGTTGACGGAAGGAGTGGAGATCATCCCTTCGGCAAAAGGGAGAATTCTTGGAAGACTAGTGAACTCGTTTAGACCCAAAAGGCTTGTTGAGGAGAGAGACTCTGATTGTTCTTTCATCAAGGGCTTACATCAGTCAGCTGGTTCCTCCAAATGATGCGGGCGATGCGGACTTTGATGCTCAAGATCTCTTGGAAGAAATCAGTCACAAGAAGGCTCTCAACACTCTGTTTGTCCGCCATGAATAGCCTCCCACATTCAACAGCCGGGGCTTTTCTCGAAGAAGCCTTCGTCTCGGCGGATGACTACTGGAAGTCACCAGCGCCAAGTGCCAAGAGCATGGCTGATTGCATGGTGCTCAATGTACACTCCCGAAAACTAACATAGACCCTGACGTCCTGGCCCCCTGGAAGAGTGTTTTCCTCTACCAACCAGTGGTTTTCAGGGTCCATGTGATCGTCTTCCAGGGTGTCACCATCAGCGGCGATGTGATCAAGAGACTTCAGCACTGGCACGAGCAATGGAACAGTGGATCCGTCTCGGACGTGTCACGTGTTGGAAAGGTCACGTGTCACGGCTTCTCAAACGTTTAACGTGTTTCAATGACCATATAGACTATACTTAGACTATATGCACACTATACTATACTAGACTATATACTTGTATACACTTTATACTATAGACTATATGCACTCCCTATGCAAAGCATTGTAAGTTATCCTGGATGGCATGCCGCACATGGCCCCTCAAGGAAGACGAGGAAGGCAAATACCAATCCGGTGGTGCCACTCCCACCGAATTCCGTGACATCCGTTGCAGGGAGTGAACAGCCTATAAGAGCTGTTCGGGCACACAAGACCGAACAACGAGCCCTACCTTTGGAGAAAGAAACACATGTGTTGCATGCGGAACGAGGACGGAACCGGACAAATATTCTGGCCACTTCTTGTGATTTGGGAGTTTCACAGGCTCCAGATTTCACGGCCATCCATCCATGACCCTCGGAACCGTTCTTCGGCTGACCAGTCAGCAGGATGTGGCGAAGGGCTGCAAAGGCCTCTCCAGACCCAAACAGGTCCTGAAGCGGTTGGTCCCAGTGGTGTCACCCTTCCATGCGCCGAAAGGTGCAGCTGAAGGAGGCCCTCCGGCTGTCCTTCCATGCAACTCGACCAGTGAAACTGGAACCAATCCTGGCGGTGATGTTGGAAGACACTGACTGGGCTGCTCCGTGGTTGAAGGATGTTCATGGTCACAATCTGGAACTAGACACCAGGTGAATGAAAGCAAAGGAAGAGGACCTATTACTATCAAAATCTATCAATGATCAATCAGGAAGATGCAGAGCTTTATAGCAGTTTATATATCAATAATGTTTCTTTTGAGAATGCTTTCAAGTGGGGAGGGAATTTGAGGTCAAAGGCCATGCAATCTGGACATGGCGTCCTAGTCAAATGGGAGACATGTCCAGGCGTTGCTCGCCTGGGAGACACATATAAGAATCAAGCAGAAGCGGCTTTGGGAGCAAAGGGCAACGAATGGAGTGAAGTTGGACACCACAATCATGTTTGAACATGCAAACAGGGCAGGAGGCGAGCCTGGCAGCCAAGGTTGATGACATGCCATGCAGGGGTTTTTCATTGGTCGTACTTTGCAGTTGTTGGAAGAAATCCGCTGCTTGACAATATGTTGTTCCACGTTTCTTTGTTGGACTGTCTCCGCCACATCTTGTTTGGTACTTAGTGTGCTTGCCTTGTTCACTGCAGGAGGTGAAGATGGAAAAGTTGGGCCGACATATCTACACTCTAACTCACTAACATGGACATGTAAGTGGAAAATGGAACCCAGGAAGACTACTTAACAGGAGAGTTGTTCACTTCCATGTTATTGTTCGGCAAAGTGTGTCGGGGGGCCACGAGCTGCTGGACAGTCAGAAATCCCCGAGCTTTACCAACCTCCCAACCATCTGGGGGCCTTCACCGTGTTCAGTCGTCGGTTCTCTTTGCCACCAAGGCATGGCACTTGGAGGGACGCCACAGCAAGGCACTCAAGGCCGATCGGCTGGGCGGATTGGGCTGTTCTTGTGGGCAGTGTATCCCACCCAGGAAAGGCGGATCACCTGTTGGGGGCATGGGTTTCCCCATTCAAATCCAAGATGGCAAAGGATGAACCGACCTTGATTTTCCAGGAAACTGAAGGGGCCGGACATAGCGGGATTTGGGGGTCCCTGAAAAGTGGTGGGTCAGTTGACAAGCAGCTTTCATGCCATTGCTTGTTTTGAATGTCGTAGCTGAGGAAGGCATGGTGGAATGCCTGTCGACTACAAATACTCGCTTCTAACTGCTCGATGGTCAGAAATCACGTGGTTTTTTGAAGTACTGCTTGTGCGTGTATGTGGGGGAGCCAGCAGGTCCCACAGCCACATGACGTTGTTTACATGAGAACACATCACTTGAAAAGCATCAGTCTCCTTTTGCGTCTCATCCGTTCGGTGGTTGGCACAGCTCTTTTTTGGCGCAGAGAGTTGAAGCCGAACAGGTCAAAACCGACCTCAACAGCTGCCGGGGGTGGTTCACGGAGCCTTTTTTCGTTGGGACCAGGATGTTCATGGGTTTCATCAACCAGCACCGACTTCACAGGTCACCAATTGAAACCTGTTAGGGCCCTTCCCAACCCTCCATTTCGGAGACCTGTTGGGTTCGGTGCTGGAAGAGGTCTGACAACCAATGTGGATTGTCTGGCCACCCACGAAAGGGCCCCTTTCGTGGTGGCGGCCTGGTGCAGGCGTTGCCGAGTCACGTGCCGGACAGAGGCCACGTGCGTCTGCGGGAGGTGAGTGTGCTCAAGCTAGTTTGCTCATGTACTTGGATCATCTTGGATGGAAACAGGGTCACGGGAATGTCATGGGAAAGATATAGAAGAAACAAATAAAAACACACATCAAATACATCTATCTAGCAGATTCTAGCCCCATCTACTGGTAGCTTGCAACTTGTGTGGGGGCAGGCTTGGACTTCGCTGGCTCGCCTTTGGGATGTTCCTTTTGAGTACGGTGCGTACCGACCTTCGTCGTAGTCTACCTTCGGATCCACTCAGTCTCCCTGAACGGTGGCTATGCACGGTTCACATATAGGTTCACATCATTTCACATCCCTTATACCAGCACCGAACCCAACAGGTCTCCGAACAGGAGGGTTGGGAAGGGCCCTGTCACAGGTCTCCTAACAGACCTGTGAAGTCGGGTGCTGGTAGAGGAATCTGTTGACCCTGAGGAGTCCCAAGCTGTATGGGGCGCTTGTCCATGTGCCCACGCTGTATGGGGCTCTTTTCGGTGGCCAACTCAACTCTGAACCTGACGTGGTAGATAAAACGGGCGGACACCCGAAGAAGCCTAAACCGACGGCGACGCCGACGCTTGATAGACCTGGAGAACAAATGCTGGTCAAAAAAACGCGCTGGTGCATGTAGGGAGGGTGGAAAATAAGCCAGCGTGTTTTTTCAACCAAAAACCCTCCCTGCATGGAAAAGACATGTTGGTACATGTGTCAACATCGATTGAAAGAACTGCTCGGATGAAGGTTCTCACATGTCCTCAGAATCTGCTCGCCAGGTGTGACTTCTACAGCACTTCCAAGTTCCGAGTCCCAGGTGCACCGGGACACTTTTCTGACTTGGCAGAACGGGACCCCCTAGCTATTGAAGCATCCAGAGAGTCTTCGAGGTAGTGGATTCTTTGGCCCGTTACTGGATCAGAATTTGAGGAAACCACGGCCCGTCGGCTTTTTGGGCGACATGAGACGTTCAAGACATGTTTGGAATGTGATTTCTTGAGTTTCTTGTCGTATCATTTTTGTATGACTGACTTTTTGATGAGGATTTCATGCACAACATCCAGTGCCCAGACAGCTGGTCGACACAGTGCTTCCGCTGTGTCGGTGTCCTTTTTCTCGAAAAATCGAGAAACCCAGATGAGAAAATTGTGAACCGGTCCTCCCAAGTGAACGTTCCTAGGGATTCAGAAATCGCTTGGAATTCCGGTGTTTGGATATGCCGAGATGCTACCTCGTGGCGCGTTTGCAAAACGCAGCATTGTGCTAGACTTGCACTAGCGCTGGCGCTCATCGCTGCTAAGTCGCTGCAGATCGTGTGCTCCACACACGTAGGGAGCATAAGTACATAGTAGTTGACGGCTCGGCTGAATTGTGCAGATATGATATCACCTATAAAGACACCCACCCAGTGCAAAAGGGTCGCTTTGCGTCGCTTCTCCTTTGGTTCTAAGGATCATGAGATCGTTTTGAAACCTAAAGATCGCCTTGGTCCGCGAGGTCCGTGTGGCCTTGGTCGAAACCATGCCCTTGGGGTTCGCGACATATCGTCTTTCCAAGGATGGGGTGGAACATGGTGGAACTTCTAAGAGATCGGTTGGGATCCATGCTTTCTGTTGCCTTTGATGGGCCGGACGGAGGGGCTGGCGATTGGAGCTTCCGTGAACGAGCCGTGAGCGCCCTTCAGGTGGATCATGACGGCCTGGGGCCGAGAGTGAGGAGAGTGAGGTGGATCGCTTTGGGGGGCTTGGATCTAAATCATTCTGATTCATTTCTCTACATCCTGTACTATTTGGCTTCTTTGGGCGGTTTGAACTGGAAATTCCATTTGGGGAAATTACACGGGCAGAACCCCAAAGATGGTGGGCTTCCCATACAGTCTCGAACTTCGAGAGATGGAGCAATGAATAAAACAACAATGATATCATCCACACGATTGGAGAAGTTCTTTGTTGGATTGGAGTTCCCTGGTTTGGGCCGTTGTTTGGGCCTGTAAGCATACCCAAACACTCCATGGGACTGCCATATTTACCTACATGGGCCTACACTCCCGCAGAGAGTATGTTTTTCCGGGCGACAGGCTGCGTTTGGTGTGTTGGATTGGCTTGGTCACCTGCACCGAGAATCGGCTGACAAGTGTCTGATTGAAGATACGACGAGCCCAGTCACTGCACTGGGAGTTATCTTTAGCCTTTTTCGGTACGGGTTCGCATGTCCTAAAGAGAACATGGTTGTCCAACAACACTTTATATAATGAGGTTGGCTTTAATAAGGTTGGACTTGGACAGTGTTTCGACTTGACTTCCGTTTGTTTGACGGTCTTGGCTGCATGAGTGCAGCTACAACGAGTTGATGGACCGGAAAACATTGAAGATGCACATGATGCACCCCTAAAGCCTCATTCCACAGCTGAAGTTCTTCAGGTGACAAGGCTAGATTCCACTAGATTCCTGCTGATGTAAAAACGTGATTTGAGGACGGAAGACGCTTTTTTGTTGGCTGCGAACATTGCATCAAACGGATGACATGATGACAGACGCTAAGCCTGCTAGCAGAGCTAGCAGAGCTAGACCCCTTTCAATCATCATGTTCAGCAAGCGCCGAACAATCGCAGGGTTTCAAAACTCAGACTTCAGACTCCAGCTGTTTAAGTGTGTGTGTGTGTGATATTTTGGTTGGGGGATATCAGATCATTTCAGACTTGCGACTGACGAAACCCGAGCCCAGGTCGTTTGGAGGCCGGCTCAACTGTTTCAGGGGGCGTAGGGGTCGGTTCCGGATCCTGCGGGTGGCAGGGTGCTTGGGGTTCTCCGCCGGTGTGTCGTTTCGAAAGCTGCAGCGAGATGGTCCAAATGTGGCAGTTTCTTCCAGATGGATTGGAAGGGTTTTTTCTCCACGTGATGTAGCATCAGGTAGAACGGAGATCAATGAGCACATTCTTTCTGCAGCCACTTGTAAGTTGTAATGGTCATTGTTACTGTATATATTATTTTGTAATTAGTGGACGTCAATATTATTGTGTTTGGAGACGTGGCACTTGAACCTTTTCCCGTTGGCACCATGAACTTGGGCCAATGGTTCAATACTGGACTACCTCTTCGGTGGTGGTGTTTGATGGTCGAAAGGAGCTTAGCGTGTGTCTCGTTTTAGGTGAGAATCTGAGACCTCAAAATACAAGGACAGGTCCTAAGTAGTGCAGTACCGGGGAATTCTCCAAGACGACAGGATATGATAGGATCATCCGTTTGGCATCACAAAAGGCACCAGTTGACATCACAAGGCTCCCAGGCGCTTGGGAAGGTCTTTGGATTGACCGAACCAGCGGTCGCTCATCGGACCGGCCAATCGTTCAATGGAACGGGAGTCCCGACTGTACCGTATAGCCTGGGTGAGAAAGAAGTTTGTGACTTCTTCCCCTATTCGGAGATGGAAGAACGTATTCTTGGGCCTTGGGATGATGTTATTTCACATCACGGAAGCAGACTCAGATTTGTTTTGGTTGAAACCACCAAGCAGTTCAATGAATTTTGGGTGGTTAGACAGGCCCCAGGTACATGACTTCAACGCCGTCTTGGGTGCCGGCGCTGGAGCGCTCGGTCCCAGGCGTTAGCACAAGAGCGAGATGATGCCGTGGCAAATGCAGCGGCTTCCAAGACAGTGACCTGGCGACAGTGACTTTGGTTGGTACTTCTCAGACATCGGTGTTCCAGCCAGTGGCAGGTTAGACATCCAGATTGCCAATCCAATTTATACTGTATATGATGATCAAGCTATGTCAAGCCGTCACGCTCTTCAGGATGGATTGTCAGCTCTTACAGTAACCTTTGAGAATGGATTATACATGTCTTGAAGAATGCTCGAAGATGCTTGAAGAACTGATCTATGAAATCCTCGCAGATCCTGTCGTATACATTCTAAGCCAGCCATCGGTTTTTTTCAACAGGAAGCATCCGGCGACCTGTCGTTGGGAGTCGACACAAAGGGGTCCATTCTTGTGCAGCTCCATTCCCAGTCAACCAACAGTCAACCAACGTCCAGCAGGAGCTGCTGCGAGAGCAGCGCCACGAGCAGAGCTCCGGCTTCCCAGTTCCCGGCCTCGGCGGTGCGACCGAGGCCCTGGTGGACGCCCAGCAACAGCTGGCAGTGCTGAAAGCAGAGCTGGCAAGATCCAAGGCCGCTGTAAACTTCATCCACCATGCGATGAGGGTGGGTGTTCTCAGAGAGGAGGAGAAGTGTTTGGCGCTGGAGAAAGGAAAACAATAAGTATGACGATTATATTGAATAATACATATCCCAAAAGGCTTCATCTTGGCGCCAATCTGGCCTGCATTAACCACCCAAAACCACCAAGTGGAGGCCATTGATGGCCAGATTTAATTGCCCAATACGTTTGTTCTGTAGCAGGCAGAGGACCCTCATCAAGGATTCCAACCTCGAGTTTGACCTTAATGAGTCAAATGAGTTGAGATGGAAGTCTTTCAAAGCAGAGGACTTGACAAAGGGCTGCCAGTTTGGTTTTCATATCTTTAGTTTATCCATTTGCAGGCCGCGGCAGAGAGACATGCTTTGGCTTGTGCAATGCAAAAAAAGCAGTTTATCCATATGTTGAAGATTTATGCATGGCACTGCCATATGCTTGGTTTATCCCCAAAAACAGTTTATCCCACTGTTTGGTTTATCCATATGTTTATCCCCAATATTTTCAGATTTGATTCGGTTGTATGCATGCTGGTGAAGTGACTGGTCGAAAGACGCTTCGGGGCTGGTAGGATTGGGATGTTGACAGACACATCGTCGCAACTGCCTCTCCATGTATGCAAAAAAAGGCCTACATTTGGTGTAGTTTTTGGTGAATGTTGGCCATTTTGGTGCCTCCATGGCGCGTTTGGGACACCAAGTGCCCTAACTTCCACCTGCATCAACTGCGCAGTCGCCTGCAGGCGGCTCCGGCAGAAGCCAAGACCAGCGACAGCGAGCGGTGTAGGCCGGACCGCCACGGACAGTCGTCTCCAGTTTGGTTCCGTGGCCATCTCGATAGATTGTGAGCATGCCTGGAGCTCGCTCACACAACATTTCAGTTTCATTGACTTGCCAAGTCCTTTCAGGGCCTATTCCTTCCCACAGGCCTATTCCTTCCTCACCAATGCTCCACGCTGGAGCTCGCTCAAATACGTCACATGTTTTGCATCAAACGCGGCAGGCAGCTGACCGATCTCAGCATCCGTTTGGCGCGCAGCGAGGCGCGCGAGGCTGAAGCGAAGGCCTTCCTGGAGCAACTTCGCCGGCCGCTGGAGCGTGCGCTGGAGGCGCTGAAAGACGAGAAGAACGTGAAAGGCAGGGCCAGAGCGTGCGACGGAGAGCTCCAGGTGGAGCAAGACACTCCATCTTAGGCCATATATTTGGATACCTTGGGATGGTTGAAAAGGGGTCGAAAAGGCTGCAGAGATTCCCATGTCTCGTGTTTTGGGGTGTTTTTGGGTGTGAAAGTCCAGGACTTTCACCCCAACTCTTCCTCCACCGCATAGACCGTCTCCACCGTGTGGACCGTCTCCACCGCGGTGTTTCTGTACGTCCAGGGACGGTGGTCCACCGTGAGCTTTGCTGCCAGCTGTACCAGCTCCTAGAGCGGCTCCGTGTCGAGGGCACACCGAAGCCAAAGGATGCCAAGGCCGGGCCGGGCTTCACGAACGCCAGGCAGATGAGATTCGGTGGACTGGGGGGGTCATGTGATTTTGGAATATTTGGGAGCCAAGATGGAGGTAAACAGAAAGTGGAAGACCATTGTACATATTTTTAGATTATGTTTTCCACCTTCACCTTGAGGTGGGTGTAGTCTGTGAGTAAGTAGTGAGGATGAGGATCCATGGTCTCCCAACTCTTCCTTCCCGACTGGAGGTGCGCACCTCCGCAGGGAGTTTGATTGGCGGTAGTGGTCCCATGGATCAACTCTGTTGAGAGGGTCAACGTAGGCAGGTGTGTGGTTTGATGAGTTCTTTTTGAGGAGAGAGTAACCAATGAGTTCTCTTTGCTCAACAATAGGGAACGGTACGTCCTTCGGTACAAACATCTTGGGTGAAAGGAACAACAGGACCAGGACTAAACCCCACAGGTCCCTGGGTGATGTTCTTCCACATCCAGCTGAGTGTGGCATCGAGAGCAGTGTAGCAGTAACTTTCTTGGAGTCCAGCTTCTATACCAGGCATAAACCCATTCCATGGCTCAATTGCCTTCCCGATCGAATTGGCTGGAATGTTTCAGGGCGAAACCCCAAAAATCATCAAAAATCCCATCGCAGCCGCAGATCGATGTCGATGTCCTTCCAGGTGGATTCGACCGCGAGTACGCCCAACCTGCAACTCGACGAACGGTTCACGTCGTTCGGCCATTGGGGGAGCTGGGATGGACTCCAGATGGAGCCGGACAGCTGACTCAGGGTGCTTTTATTTGGAGACTTTCCCCGAATCAAGGATCCAATCCTTTGGAATGGAATGGGGATGAAGGGTTTTTCCAAAGATAGCCAGTACGATGAAATTCCAGACCGCTTCGAGTTTGGTCAGGTTGCTAAAAAAGAATCAACAACCTCTTGGCCATTCTTGGCCCTCCTTCCAGATCTTCAACAAGTCCCTTTGGTATCAGTGATGGAACTCCTTGGCAGCATGCCAAGGACCTGAGAAAAGACCTCAGATCAGGTGACCTGTGTTTCACTTCTCACAACCCCGTGGTTTGCTGAACTTTTTGCAGTTCCCCCGCTCCCAAAACAGCCTCGTGCCAAAAAAGAGACACGCCCTCATTATGGCTCCCCCAAACCAGCAGAGGTTGAAGAACCCAAGTTCGACTATATAGGAACCCCAGGTTACGGGTCCTTTTTCAGGTTAGAAAAAACAATTGGAAAAACCGTCCTGGCCGTATCTTGAAGGGGGTATACTTCGCAGTTGAAGTCGGTGGCGAGGCCCTCGTCCTTCAGCTTGCCCAGCCTCTCCACGGCCTCCTCGCCCAGCGCGCGCAGTCGAAGCAAAAACTCGGAGCGGTCCGCACCACTTCGCGGTCCATGAGCCAAAAAAGACATGGTTTTGGGTCAAAGAAGAGGAAGAACCGGGTAGTTGGGACAGACGACTTTGCGACATCAGTGGATCATCTTCCCATGTTTTCCCTTAAGTTTTATATAGTTTTAATGTGTGTTTAAATGACTCTCATAGTAGAATCATGTACATCCAATCCAAAAGTCACCTTGGGGCATGGACAAACCCCTGACGGAACGGACGGCTCAATGCGGCGTTTCACCGGATGCAAAGCATCCTTGTCGGTCACATCTGGGACAAAAAGACCTGTGCGGAGGCCTTCGAGGCAGGGCATTCTTCCGATGAATCAACCGCGATGGTCAAACATCTTTGTTAAGAGTCGTTAAGAGTCGCTTCTCAAACCTACGCCCCAACCTGGATTTATATAAATATATATAGTTATATATATATACCACAGACATTGGTGGCGATGTACTGTGTGACTCTATGCACTTGTTTGAAGGTTTTCGCATGTTTGCTGCCGGCAGGACCTGAATGCCACCATCCTTATAACTTTGCTCATAGATCGTGTTTCAAGTCTTTTTCAGTGATTCGGCGACGACCGTCGCAACTGAATTCGCAAAGCGCAGCAACGACCTGAGCGAGTGCTCCGCTTCAAGTGTTCCGATGTCAATGCATGAGGCTTCAGTCCATGTGTCCTAGAAGTCACTCTCGCAGAGTCCTTGCAGAAGCTCGATGGATCAATCCTAGGTTATTGAAGAGTATATGAATATGACATGCATATACTACAGTAATATATACATGTGTGAAGCCATGCTATATCAGCGGCGCCGGAAGTACTTAGTCGGGTTGTGCGTTCTTCCATCGTGTACGGCATGGCAATGATCCCAGTGGTGGGTTCTGGGACACTGGAGAGGCCATATTTTGTTGAAAGCCAGCCTCCAGCATAGTGATGTGGACCTCAGGAAGGGACCCAGGTTGGGGGAGACAGCAAAGCAGTCCCGAATTCTTCTCGTGGAAGTGGAGAATGGGCCCACTTGCTTCAATGTCCTTTCAGGTCCTTTCAAACGAAAGGTCCGACATGTCATCTTGCACAGCATCATATCTTTCTTGCAATGGGTTGCTTTAAAGATGGCCTGTTTTTCCTCAAACTGGGTTTCTATGAGCCACACTTCACCCGGGACGGCTATGGCGTGTGGTCAAATGTCGAATGTCAGACAGTGCACAAGTGTTCAAAAAGGTGTTTTGCTCTCCTTCTTTTTGTGACATGGCAATTTAGTGCGAGATTGATTGGATCTATTCTGAATTATCAAATTCATAGTGGATGATATATTTGGCAGATTTCATGGAGGATTTATTGATGAGCACTTCATTTCCAGCCTATAGCAGATCAATGTTCGTTTTATCCCTGCATATGTGTGTGTGTGTGTCCGAAGTGGATGTTGTACTTTTTGGTATCCAAACTGTCGAAGTCGACGTCAGTAAATTCACAACGTTTTTGCTGCAAAGGATCGTGCCCATCAAGTAATTGGCAGAATCCAAATTGTCGGTCCTTCCTCCTTAGTTCACATATGCTCACATGTTTGTTCGTATAAAGTTGAACTCCTGTGATAGGTCTACAGCTTTGGTGCATCACCATCACAAAGGCATCTCTGCTACGGTTTCTCGTTGACCTCCTATGATTCAACACACCAGACATAGCAAAAATCCGTGGCGCGAGAAACCTACCTTAGTCACTGGATATTTTTGGGGATTGGTTTGCCCCAGGTGGAACACTAGGTGGAACCTCTAATTCCAGCCAAACGGCTCGGGCGTCCGGAACAGAAAAACGGTTGGTTTTGGATATGGCTCTGGGTCAACACCTCCCCCCTCAAACCATGGGAGACATTTCTGTAAACGAGGACCCCAGGACCCCAGGAGATCTCGGTGCATCGGGACCATTCGGGACCCACCGACATCGTGATGTTTCCCTGAGGCCATGATTCTTGGACCACGCCCCAGGTACCTCCGTCAAACTTCACTGGTCTCCCCACAGCCCTTTCGGAAGCCCGGAAGCCCTCGATTCACGGTGGCTCAAGCGGCGACGGCGGACGTGCGGTGGAAGGACCTGGCGGTAGGAAGGAGAAGTTCTAAGAAGTCCAAGCGAAGGCAGTAGCTCGCCAGGTATATATATATAATTAATTAGATTCGATGCGTAGAAAAGGAACTGCAGTAGCTCGGTGAAGAACAAAAGTCCCGCGTGGCTGGTGTCCTTTGAATGTATACTGACATGGATGGGACCGGATCAGGGAATTAGTCGGTCAGACTCCGCGGTTAAAAGGGATCCGCAAACACGGTACCAGGACCATCCTGTGCAGGTGTCCTGGCAGGACTACCTGAACCACTAGATATGTCTATATAGGATCTCCAGCAGCACACAGCTACAGGACGCTCCAGGCACACAGCCAGGTAGCTTTTATCATGTGATCATGTGTGCTTCGTGGTCGGACTGTCATTCGCTATGAGACGATCAATCAACATGCCCTGCATGTCTCGATCGATTCAGCTTGACCCACCTATCCACCTATCGATTGATTTGGTGGTGTCCTCTCAAACACAGGTCGGGCACTCCGGGCGTGAGAACTGAATAGCTTTACCAGGGAGTTTGAGGGTCGTTTCATCATGTTTCATCGGCGAGCTGGCTCATCCCATGGAGCACTTTGGGGCACTTTGGAGCAAGTCACCAATTCCCACACCCTCGATCCTTTCAGGTTTTGCAAAAAGAAAATGACATAAGTGATCCTTTGAGGTTTAAGAGTTGGGTTCCTTTCAATCGGCTTCGGCCAAATGCTGAACGTTCCACAAGAGAAACACCATTCACTTCGTAGCCAACAACGAACGGTTCTTCTCTGAGAACGTCAACGATCTAAACGACCGGGCGCGGTCCAGAGTCCGACAGAGACTCAATGGGATGAGCAGAGGCAGGGGGCGGAGTTGGTGGATTTGAGACACTTGATACGGGGCACAATGCTAAGCTAGGTGCGGCACCTCGTAGATTTGGGCGACTTTTGACACCGATCTGGCACAGTGCGGAAACTTCGTAGACGGTGAAGAACTAGCCCCGCTGGCTCCACTCCTTGCCTACTAAACCTGAACCTTATCCCAACATATCCCGACACCTTCTGGTCTTGCTTGGTACTCGTAGCAAGGTCGCGGTGGAGCACATCAATCAACCAACCCCTTTGGCCTGATGAGGCATGCAGCCAGTCCCACACTATTGGGCCGTTGGGCTTCTTGGAAGCGTGCAGCCAGGCGCTTGGAAGCGTGATGTGGTGACGGGACACCAGGCAATGACCACCACTGGTGGCAGCGAGCCTGGCGAGTTCAGTGCTGTTTCCGAGCAGGGCGAACTGCTGCGAAGCTGGGGAGTGGACAGTGGTGAGATGTGGTGAGTGGTGAGCTGCAGTTTCGGACCGTGGGGCATCGCTACTAGTAGCGTTCGGACGTTATGCTCGGTGGAGGCCATCGCTATTCGGTTGGAGGCCATCGCTACTAGGAGCAAGAGCGCTACTAATTATATGATGCCCAGAATGGCAAATTGAAGACATTGGCCTCACCACAGACCCACCACTTTTGCACGGGGATGATTGAAGACCGGACCGATGTGTGTTTCTTCGGGCTGAAGGTATTTCAACTCCAGACTCCAAACCTAAACACGGGAGGTGTCGTCAGGTGATTATGTAGGGTGGCGTTGTTGGGAAGTGATATATTTATTAGAGCACTTGCGACTAAAGAAGATATGCGGTCAGTTCCTCTTGTCATTTTGTTGGTGTGAGTCAGGGCATCATGTGGGAGACATTTGAAGCATTCGGAAGAAGAGCCCCGAATCGACATGAAGCATATGGAAGTATACCACATCCTCCAGTTAACGTTGTAACTTCCAGCCTTGGCACCCCAGCTTAAGACACCCAGCCCACATGTAGCCACGGATGGACCGCCAGGACCATCCGATCGAATGCTGGGGGGTCCTTTCTAGACGACCCATAGCCCACAAGAGGCCCACTAATTACTGCCCACTAATCTCCAGCCTGGACACCCAAACAGGATGGTCTAGGTATATGTGTTTGCTTGGAAGCAAGTCTTCGAGGCTCGAGGAATCCCGTGAAACATGGCTCCTGACATCTCCTGACATCTCCTGACCCTTTCCATGGCGGAAGTCTTTGCCAGGTACCTGGGATGCGGCGCTGGGAGCCCCAAGTGGTGTGGCGGAGCATGGATGCATGGATGCACCCCCCATGCAGCCCATCATAGACATGACTTCATATGGGATCGGGTAGACTCCTGATGAATAAAATCCCCATCATTTGGATTGTGAAGACTTCTTCAGGCTCTCGGCGGTTGATGAGTTAGTCAAGACTTTACCGTTGTTGGATTGTTCAGACTTGAAAGTTGTTGGTCTCTCGTATCTCGGAAAGATGCATGTCTGAAATCCAGATGGGTCGGATAGTCCACCATCGTCCATCCGATCGGTGGACGTCTGGACCATCCGATCGGTACTCCGAAACGTCTTGAGGACGGGGTCATGAGTCATGGAACGATGTCTTTTGGTCTTACAGAAACTACAGAAACTGAGTTATCTTTTCTGACTGGTGCTCAGTAGGGAATAAGGGAATGAGCCCCCAATAGAGATCCTATTGGATCCATTCCCTCATTCCCTGCTAAGCACCAGTCAGTTTTAGTCCTTTTGAATGAAATGCAGCTACGGACTTAGACTGGTGAAACCTGTAGGCCATGCGGACGAAGGTGCAGATTTTTCAATCCCATGTCGTTGGGTTCATGTCGCCTGGAACGTTGGAAGGTTGGAGCAACATCCTGTGATGGTCAATGTTTTTGGTGTTCCTGTGAGGTCAGTAGATTGAAAAGGTCCTTTTTTATGCATGTTTGATGGGGATTCACTTGTGTATCATTTCAGTGTCACGGTTTAGTCAGTTTAGTGTCCCCTAGGATGTTTTCTTTTGACGTAGGTTGAGGTTAGGGAGATAAGAGCCCAAGTGATTCAGTCCTTGGGTTAAAGCTACCTTTCCCTCTACAGAAACAGTACAGTAAAGCTGCCGTCGCTACAGGGTGTGGCACATGATATCCCTTTTTGGGGGACATGGGGATGGGGCCTCCAGGGGTGCAATCTATTGAGTCACAACCACCTTCCAAGCAGGTACAGGAAGACATCTCCCCCCGAAATCGTGCGTGCCAGGTTCCGGTTATGCGACTTCTTGGAAGCAGAGTCGGGAGTCTTGTTTCCGCATTCAGTGGTAATCGGAGATAGACTTGATAAGATGAGACTGGTTTCAAGCAGGAGTAAATGATATAATGATTGATGAACCGTAACAGATCCAACTAGCTTTACCTCAAACGTTTGCTTCAGCTAGCTCATTTTGGCGCATTTGGGGGAATTCCCCAGACTCCTGCGCTGGCGCAGCTGTGCCATGCTGTGCCGTGCGCAGCCAAGGTGGCATGGTGGTTTGACACCAGATGGCCCCAAGGTGCGATTCGATGCGATTGGATCGCTGGAGATGGATGCCATACTCTTAAGGTCTCTTAAGAGTGATTTGTTTTTGGTTTTCCTATGGCTCAATTTTTTTACCGGACATGGGGCAACTGACCATCTGCGCGTAGGAATGACAACAGTCCCTTGTGCGGAGTTGTAGGCCGTCCTTGCAAGCTGCAGGGCCGTGCCTCATGCCATGATTTTTTTCAGATTCAGCATTTGTCCTGTGGTTGATTCCTCCCCAACCACGAACTTCCCGACCCGCGACTCTTCTCACCAAGAACATTTGCTGGTTGAGTTCCGTGGGCAGTTTCGACAAGGTGACGACCACCTGTACAAGGTTGATGCAAAAAGGACAGCAATGGCATTGATTGGATGGGAAAGGATCTTGTCGATAGCGGCTAATCTGGAGAATCGGTTGAGGAACACCTGGAGGTGCTTGGATCAGCTCCGGCACTGAATCTGGGATACAGTATGCAGAATCCTGCGTGCCCAGCTTCAGGAGGCTGATGATCCCTAGGGCTCCAAGTACCTTCTAAGAAGGTGTTTGGGGTGGGCTTAGAGGGTCCAAATACCTTCTCAGGAGGTACTTGGAGCCCTAGGGGATTTGATATGAGGCACAGTTCACGCCAGTGAAGGACAGCTCCGTTTGGCCAGAGGACCTGTCCTCGCTGCACCTGGACGTCTGGTGTCGACAGGCGAAGCCTGGACTTGCACCGATGTCAACGAGAGGAAGTAGACCCCAGGATGCCCCAGGTATAGGTATTGATGTCATGTAGCCAGCACCACCCAAAGAGTGGTTTATAGACCCCCCTGAAGATGTATGTTCTATCCAATAACCACCCTTTGAGTGATGCTGGAGGATGTAAACTGGGAATCCACAGGAATCCCCGTCTTTTGGCGCTCTTTGTCCCAGGCGGTGCTCGAACTAGGTGCTGGCACTGGATGGCCGGGCGCCCTTTGTGTCTTTTGCCTCGCGGAACGCCGTGGTTCGGTGAACCTTGGGGCAGCTTCTCCCGGGGGGGAGCAAGTTTCAATCCACATTGAGGAATGACAGTGGTTTCAGAGGCTCGATGGCACGTTTCGCTCAAGATGTTCTTTACATGGCGGTTAAACCACCGACATTGGGGTGTGTGCCACCTACTTTCCATCCACGAGACGCAGAACAGAACTGGACAGGCAGCCGTGTCGGTTGACTGAGATATTAAAAGATATGACACAAGTAACAAGTAAGCTTCGTTTTAAAAGATCGTTATATAAGATATTACAAGTAACAAGTAACAAGATATTATTCGTTCGATATTAAGAACTAAGCTTCGTTTTCGACATCGAAGAGATTGACCACGTGAAGACTCCGACTTGTTGTCTTTTTCCCCGCGCTAGTAGGGGCGTAGGGGGAACTGGCAGCGTGGATCAGGAGTGATATCAGTTTCACCATGGTTTTGTGATTCGGATTTTCAATGTGCTTCGATTGCCACATCGGTCGTTCCTGGTGGTCCAGATCCACTGCAAAGTGAGGCCACTTTTGGTGGATTTGTTTGTTGATGTTTGTTGAGAATCCGAAGATTCGAAAGGTTTGAGACGCGTTCTGGAGATTCTACAAGTAAGTAGGTTGGGAGTACTACAAATGGTTTGCTCACAGGTTGCGGAGCAAGGTGACATGTTGGAGGTGTTTCTCCAGGTGGTCTTTTTCGCTCAAGAAACCACTTGGGTTGCTTGAACTTGGAAGCGGGAGACTGGGATCATCGATCGCGTCCAGGTCGGGCCGTTTCTCTAAGGCTGGGCATGACGGTGGCCCGCAACTGCCCGTGCCATGTGTGCCTCACGGAACAGGCGATTCTTCCATGGAACTCACAGTGGGAGGATGTGAGTTGAGATGAGATGAGAGTAGGTGGGCCTGGAGCCCAGATGGCCATATGTAGACCCTTGATTCACACAACCCCACATCTGAAAGGTGAAGAGGTTTTACATGGCCAAAAAAGGAGTCTTGTCTTGATTATGTAAAAGCGAGTCATACATACTTATGTAGCCAGTGGCGATGGATGAACCGCCCTTTTGATTGGCCTTTATTTTCAGGATTCTTTTGCCTGCGAGCTACTGGTGAATTGAGTTCTGATGCAGCCACCCTTCCATTTGGTCAGATTGTCGGAGAGTAGATGGGTGTGTGTTTGGGAGGGTTTGGAGTGGCTTTTGTCGTGGATTGGATTTTCATGTTTGGTTGTGGTATTTCGGTTGGAGAATCCTTCAAAAGATGCACACATTGATGCACTACGGTTGCATCTCACCACTAATGGGACTTGAATCTTGCTTTTTCAGGCAGATTCCCAAGCTTTTTGGGAGACCATTGCACGTTCTACATTCCCAGCAGTTGCATCACTGGTAGATCACAGACCCTTCAGGGCCACCAAATCCCTCAAACGACGTTCCATCTTCCAAGAGATCATGAGAAAAGAGACTCCCCCAATGTCCTTCAAACATGACACTATATGGACTCCATATGTCCATATGTCCTCCCATATATCATCAAGAACATGGGTGAGATGTCCTTCAAACATTCACCCATGTTAATTTCCATATTCCGAATCGAGGAAGGATCTTCTCACCGCTTCCTCCGCGAGTCGCGCGAGGCGGAGGGTGGCGTGGGGAGTCCCAGACTTCTGCCGTGATTGGCCTTTCTGGTCGGCGTGGGCCATGAGCTGTTGGCCTTGGGCAGCCTTGAGCCGTTGGTTGCTGTCTTTGATCTACCATTTGCTCGTAGAATAATTCAAGAAAGCCAATGGTGTATGATGGTTACAGTATTAATTCACATACCTGTCACAAAATCAGGCCCCCCCAAATAAAAACCGTTCATCTACCAGAATGAATTAATACGTGTTTGATCTGTATTGTCCAAGGAAGACTGAGGGAGACGGTTGCTTTGCGCCCCCCACTTCCTGCATCGAGACGGACAGGCACACAGCCGCTGCATCCTGAAGGCAACGTCCCATGTTTGTCACCTTCGTTTGAAACATCAGAAGCCGACACAAGGAAGACCAATCGAAATTTATCATATTCTAATATCCAGGTCCAGGTACTAGCAACTGGACTAGCCTGGATAAGCTTTTGAAGCAGGTTCCCAGCGTCTGAGGCCATGGAGTGGCTTCAGGAGAATCTGGCCCAGAACGTTGCTCGGATGGACGTGGGACGTGGCTCGGACCCTGGCAAAACCGGAGGATCTGGCAAAACCCAGCTCAGCAGCTCAGGTGGCTGTTCTTGTATTGAAATGATCTAAGAGCGTGGGTTTTTCCATGATGGATGTGTTCCACAATGGGACCCGGCCAAGGGAAACTTAATTAGGTATCACTGTATCACCGTCGTGGGGTTTGGCACCGCGGAAGGGGAACGTGTTAGATCGAAGAAAAGGGATCACTTTTCGCAGAGGACCACATGGGAACCCCAAAACCACGTCGGGTTGGTATTCGGACAATGGTCTTCTACCGGTCAATTCTCAGGTTCGGGACCACAAACGCGGGAGGGTATTCACCCCAACCTCCCGTTGTTTCAGCACGGGTGCTCTTAGAACCGTAGTGTTCGTCCAGTCCCTTCGACAGCTCTTGCAGAGTGCTTCGAAGAGTGTGGTTAGATTGATTAATGTTAATTCATCCACACGGGAGCGGTCAATTTATATAGTTTGGACACGGTCAGCCAAGTTCACATGGAGTCCACAGCCAAGTTCGCAACAGAGTTTTTGCCATAGACTCAGGTTAGTTGTGTGTTCATGTATATGCTGCCAACATATCCCTGACACCCTGAAAGTGGACTCCGCATGTGAACTCCGCCGACCGGCTCCGCAGCTGTCCTCCAAGGTGGCTGCAGGTTTGCCTCTGCAGGGCGTGACGCTTCAGGACCTTGGCGGGGTGAACCGCCGGGCGAACCGCTGGGGGGTGCTTGGGTTCGGACTTCGGAGTCGCCCGACCGATCCGCTGAAGAACGGTGCTGTGCCGGTGGTTCGGGTGGTTCTCTTGAAACGGCGACGTCTCGTCCAGGTGTGCAAAGAGGGACGGCAACCAAACTGCTGGTGACGTGGGGGGTTGCCAGTCAGGTGCTGCTCAGACAAGAAGAGAAAGAAGGAAGGGGAAGGGAAATGGAAATGGAAGGGAAGGGAAGGGAAGGAACGAAAAGCGAAAGAACCAAGCAAAAGAATTATGGCAGAAAGAACAAGGATCAAAAGATGTCAAAGGGAAAAGACAGAAAGAGCCAGAGACCAGGCAAGCTGTCGAGCAGCGATGTCTGCCACACCCTGTTTATGCTACGTGTTTTCAAACATGGCTCAGCAAAAAATAACACCACAGGCTCCACCAATGCGGGGGCCACTCCCACTCTGAGCGCAGCTTGCTTCGCCCGCAGCCCATCTCTGCCCGTCCGCCGAGTCAGGAGTTGGACTGGAACGCTTGGGAGGTGTGGGCGTCATGCGCGGCGCATCGCGCAGCGAGCCATGTCATACACACGCGAGGATGCCTGCCGCTACGTAGGAGTCAGAGCTCCGGGTGCTTGGTGCCGAAATGGAGGTTACAGACATCAATCCGGCTCGCTGAGAAGAATCTGCGAAGGTGAATGGAACACCCATCAGGGATCATTCTGATCACCATCCTCCCTGATCCAAGAACCAATGAATGAGGTCCTTGACCTCCTAGAGCCTGTGTCTAAATGTCCTTGACCTGCTTTTGAGATGTGGGTGGGTATCTTTTTAATTCTGGGAGACCCTCTAGCATCCCCTGAATAATGAGTAGACGAAATCAAACTTAATATAGTCGTCCATGTTTCCTCCAATTTGTTCCAGGGGCAAACCATGTGGGAGCTCTCCGTTTTTGCTCAACTAGTGGTCTCCAAACGAAGTAGAACGAAGTAGATCCAGAAACTGATGCCTTGCTTCCATGCCTGCCACCTGCGCCACCGCTCTGCGCTCGGGGAACCACCTTTGGACCTCGCGCCCAGGCACCGGGCGGTGCTCCGGCGGCGGCCTCGCTCCCGCGGCCGGCGAGCGGAGGCGGGACATGGAGTGGTTGAAGGATTGGACCGAGGAAAAATAAACAGCTAGCGCTGGACCGAGGGATGTTAAGATCCAAGGGAAAAAAACAAAACAAAAAGGAAAAAAAACAAAGAACCGAGGGAGATCTACCAAATAGATCCAAAATAACTCCCCACCTGCCAGGTGAGGGTTGTTATAGATTTGATCACAGCTGTTGACTCCTCCTCTTCCTGCTCCTCCCTCCTTTTGGATGCCCAACCGGGCACCACCGGACCTCAACCGCGAGTGGGCTCAGCACACTGTGCACCTCCGGACCTGAAGCAGATAAAATTCCGCCAGAAGAGATGCCCAAACAGATCAGAAGACATGTCAGAATCTGTGGCGGATAGCATGCCATAATATGTGCCAGATAGAATATACATATATATATATTATATATATACAGAAAGAATGTCAGAATATATCAGAGTAGATGCCAGATACAAAACGAGAATGGTTGCCAGATAAAATGCTATAACATATGAATATGCCAATGAGGATAGATGCCAGATATAACGCAGGTGATTAAAACCTTCACCACCATTGGAATCTGAGCATGACCAAGCAATCGCCATGGGCCGCTCAGAGACTTCGGGTTCTGGGCCGCTCGGCTCGGCGTGCCCTGTTGGGTCCAAAGACGCCTCGTGGTCATGGCCATAGCACGATGACAATGGTGTTGGTCCTGACAGGGTGTATCATCATCCAGTCCTTGGCGTGGCAAGATTGACATATATTGATATATATAATACATCCTCATAATTATCCCTTAGTGGGTAGTTGTCCTGTTATGCCATTTGTTGCTTTGATGGGGCCGAGAGTGAGCTGTCGCTAGCTGGCAACTTGATCCAGGATCAGGAGAAGTGATACGTTGCTGATGGAAACAAGCAGTGTTTTCATGGTTCTTGAGCACGGGTTTGAACCATATATTATATGTAGAGTCAACAGCGCGTGTCAATTGGATCACACCACTTGTTGGGTTCATTTCACAATGGAGGTCTGGGGATGGGCCTTTTCACACATCAATAGCAAACCCATATGTGATCGATATGCCCTTCTCAGAAGCTGGTAGAGTAACTCTATATAGACCCTCTTTTGAGCCCACCTCCCGACCAAACCGCAAGAAACCAGATACCTTCTTAAAAGGTTCTCAGACCTCCTAGCTCCACCCCATGCGCCCCACGGATTGCTAGACCCTCGAGCCTTCCTGCCGGGTGGGATCGGATCGCAGGGGCTTGGGACTTGTTGATCGGATCTGACCTGATCTACTCCGAGGCGGAAACCGAATCGCAACGCGGTGTGGCCGTCTTCGGTTGAGTCATCGCGGTGCGGCCAAAACGATCGGAGAGAGCGACACGTGCGTCTCACGTGCGACACGTGCGAAACGTGGTGTTGGTCAAGGTGGTTTGAGGGATTGGTCGCTGTGCACCGTTTGGTGATATAGGTGTGCACGTTGGTTGTTATGTGTCGTTCATATAGTTGTTCTCACTCTCCTGGGAATGATGAATGAGATTGTTGCGTTCCATTTGACTTGTGTGTGATGAGATGTGGGGTCGGGTCAAGCTATGTGGAAGCGATTGGAAACGAGCTTGCGCAGCCTGGCAACCTGTTGATGCTCACAAACAGAACGCCTTGGCGTTCTGTTTGAATCGTTTTTCATCACGCCAAACTGGCTTTACACCCTCAACCGTCTCAAGGATACATGGGTAAGTAGGGCTCGGAGAAAATCAGGGCTCGAGGCGCTGGACATGTCTTGTCCTGGTGAAGCGGAGCAAGGAGAGTTTCTATCCATTCGGGGAGCCACATGTTTGATAGATACAACATCATACAGCTATATACCTAGAACTTGATAGATGTTGATGTGCTTTTCCACCCACCACCCCAAAAGAAAAGCCGTGTCCTATTGAATCCAGAAGTCAAATGGGTTCCAGTCACATCGGCTGGATTGGGCATCGCAGCTGTGTTTCAGGTGGGTGTGAGATGCCTACCACGGGTCCTGAAGAGCTTCATCGAGGAGTCGGGTCGCCCAACAAAATGCAATGGCCAGGAGGGACATGGGATGACATGGGTGGCCAACTCCCGTGGACCCCAAAACACCCGTCCTATGGAGCCCCAACGTCCTATGGATTGGTTCGCCCGTCTAGGATGGGTCAAGTTTGGGCGTTCCAAGGTGGTTTGAGGTCAGCACTGCCAGGCTTGAAGGCACACCCGACACAGCTTGGGACGTTTACAAAGGGGTTGTCCTTCGGAGCGACGTTTCCCATTCAACAGGGAGCCGTTACTCGCGAACTCGCTCCACTCTCGAGTTCCCTTACTCCGCTCTTACCCCGTGTAGCTACTGGTACCCAGTGGTAGCTGGTACGTGGCAGCCGGGTGTTTCTCGCGGTCTCCGGCTGCTGTGCCTTGACCTGGTCGATGGATCCAGAACGTCGAAGAGCAAGAAGGTGAAGCAGGTTCCAACAGCTGAAGCAGAACTACTCGGGAGGCACTGGTTCTTGGTGACATATATTATATAGTATCCCAACGAAAGAGAAGAAACAATATGCCCTTAACTTATACTTGTTACATCTTGTTCAGATCAGACATCGTGCTTCCAGGCCAAAGAGAGGGGGGCGGCGAAGTTCGGGCGTTTGAGTAGCGTGTTTTTGCTCCGTTCGTAGCGATGCTAGGAGCCCCTAGTAGCGTCCTTGCTCCTAGACATGAACAAATGGCAAAACTCGAAACTGCATGTCCACCCATGAAACGGTCTTTGGAGGGGTGGCACTCTTTCTGTTTCGCCCACGACTGCCATCACACCTGCTCACGACTGCCGTCACACCGTGGCCATTTGGCTTCAGCGCCTCAGCGTGGCTGCGCCCGTTACGCCCGAGGGCTACTCGATGAAGAGCTTCGGACAGGCGAGTTCGGACGGGGTTTCCTGGCGTCCAGCAGCGGCGCAGGAGTGGAGTTCACCACCCGAGATATTCAAGATGACCCATGTGCTGGCCACCAAATAGGTAGACCAGACAAGACATGATGTGCAAACAGATTCCCAGGGATGAACTTTGCTACCATACGGTTTACGAGATATATGGATATAGTTGCTCGCGTTGTTGTCTTGTTCCGTCCTGTTTTCCAGCCCTTGTTGGATCTGTTTCTGCACCTTCTCTTGCGCCCAAAGCAGGGACAATGTCTGGTGTTCATCAGCCATTGGCACTTCCACAAGAAACAAATAGCGTCAAAGAGCGATTTCCAGGTTGATCGCTTCCTATGTCTCAGTCATAGTCAAGGGGTTGTGTGTCAGGACATGTTCCTGTATATGTTCGCCTATGTTACCTGCATGTTCCTTGAGCAGCTGACAAGTGCCAGGTGTCCACACATGTCCACACTAAGAGGTTCCATTCTGACCTAGGAGACCTCAAGGTCAGATCTGAAAGCAACATGAGGTCAGCATATGTCATCTTCATTTCGGTGGCTTGTGATTTTAGCTGTTACTCGCACACTGCTGCAGAGTACTGCCGGGTTCCTCTCCCATTCAGACATCTTTAAAAAGGGAAGGTTCGTCCTTACGTGGTGGAACAACCATGATTGTTGTAACAACCCAGGTCCAACTTGTTTCTTTCCAGTGACATAACCCCATGTTGGTCACCTGAAGACCCCCGACAACCTCGCTGCACTGCGGCCTGCAGCCTCCTTCCTTCCTGCACCCTGCGAGGCGTAGAATCGCTTGACCTTCCAACAAAGACGTCGGCGCCACGTTGCTGGACGCCGGAGACGGCATGGCGGGCTCCACTCTGGAGCTCTCGGATGCGCGGCATCTTGATTCAAAAGAAACCCTTGAGCATATTGAGCCGTATACTAGTAACAAGGGCATCGCTACTAGGAACAAGTGCTTCGCTACTAGTAGCAAGAAGCTACTTGTAACAAGGACATAGAATGTTCGACAGATGAAGCAACTCCACTTCGTCGTGGGCTCACCACGAAGTGTAGGACTCAATCTGGGCTCGAACAGAGCAATCCACTTTCCTCAATCTGTGCTCACCAGTGAAAGATGAGGAAGTACATAAAAGAAGTGTGTTTTTTCTCTCCTCACCAACACGGATGGCTTTGGAACTTGGGAAGGCGAAGGAAGGCGGTTGGCGAAGGTGTTGGTGTTTGTTTTTGGACTCAGCGACTCGCGCAACCGAAAATCGATTTTACTGACAACAGCAAAAGTCAGTAAGTCTGTTCACACCGAAGGGTATTCTTCATCTCCTCCAAATGTCCGTGCCTTTTGGATCTTTGGGGACTTCGTTCGTTTCTTGGTGTGGCCGTCCCGTCTCGCTTTTCCTTGGGAGAGTCGGCCAGGGCGGCGGTACAGGTCAAAACCTGCACCTGGGAATTGGAGGAGTGGGGCGTGGTAAAAACTCATGGAAGAAATAGAATTGCCCAGTCTCAGAAGATTGAAGTCAGATAGACCATCGTTTCAGGAAGGTCATCACCCTAGAACCTTGAGTAGTAGTAGGAACACAAGCGGCTCCTTGCAGCTGTTCCTGGGCTTGGCACCGCACCTATGTACCACCGAGGCTCTTGACCGAAGAGCTTCCGCAAGAGTCTTGCAAGGTGTGGTGAGAGTTGGGAGGCTGTTTCTCAGCGAGGCTGGGTGAGCCCAGTTTTGAGGCTGACCGAAAGAAAGACCCCTTCCAAAAGACTCTTTTTGGGGGACCCTGGAAAGTGCCCCACACAAAATCCCAGGTCGGACGAGCTCGTCATGAAAGAAACTGAAACTGTTCTGATGAAGTGATATACCCTACGGGTCCAGTCATACCTTCTGAGGAGGTATGACTCGAGCCCTAGGGATAGTGATGTTGATGTGAACGCCGAAGAGCTGGCATGTTACACCCCACCGAACGCCCCTTGCAATCAGTGCTAGCTTTTTGGTCTTGAAGATTCAGACGTCAGAATTGTCTGACCCCAAAAAAGAAGGAGCTCTAGTGTTTGGCGATATCCAACAGCATGTCAGGGGGATGTGTCTCAAAATCTGACTATATAGTTAAAGCCTTCCTGAAAAAAGAACATCCCAGCGGCTTGGCAAAAGATCGCAAGAAATCACATGAAAACACTGAAAAGATCAAGAATCAACTCAACTGGATATTCCACTCATTCTTCTCATTCTTGCTTGCCGTGTTTCACGTGTTTCTCCTGTGAAACGCACACGAACACACGGCCACGTGCTCCTAATCCCTCCGCAGGTGATTGCAGGACCCTTCGCGATTGGCGTTCAACTCTTCCTGGTGCCTCGACTTCGGCTGGGTGCGATCAGCAGAGAAGAAACCCCCCCAGACCCACCGACATGGATTGTAAAACCTCTTCTATCTCCCTCATTCCGAACCCGCACGCAGCCCCATTGGGCGGTTCAGAATGTCACTGTGGACACACTGGTCTAGGATTATAAAACCTCTTCTTTCTACCTCTCGCGGCCACGACGGTTCCCCTCGTTTGAGGTGGCCAGTGCCGCCAGCATTCCACTGGAGCGGGATGCGAAAATGTCATCTATACAGAAAGAGAAGCAACACAACTATCAACGAAATTCAGCCACCGCGAATGCCCACGAAGACATCGCCGCACCGGTCACTTTGCGTGACACTCTGGTGAGCAACATCAAAGCTTCATCAGAAAAGAACGGCCGGGCACCACACAAAGAACCCGGAGGCATCGACTTCCCCCCGGTATGTGCAATATGTGGTTGATACTGCCCAGGTGTGATCTCAAAGGAAATCTGCAGGCGACAGAAAGCGAAGGATGACTTTAACCATTTGGCAACCTGTTGAAATGTACAATGCTCATCTGTAAACTGAGTATACGGAAGCTTCAAAAACAGAAACAAGACAGCGAGCTCCATGAAGGAAACTTTCAAGGTCGGCGATTCTTGCCATCGCAAGAGGGAAATGAAAGTTCCAAAACTCAACCAGTCATTCTGATCGAAGGGCCATCTAGTCGGAACTGTAGGCCATTCATACGTGACCCTCCATGTGAACAAAACGAGGTCGGATTTCCACGGAAGGGCAGGAAATTGTTCCTGCGGTGTCAGTGCTTCCTCAAGGCGCTCATCCTCAGATTCAACCACTTCTTTTTTGGCATCTTGGCCAAGGAGAATAGAGAGTTTGGTGAGCCATTCCTGGCGTTGCAGCACAGCAGTACACAAAGCAGGATAAACAGAATCGTGAATGGCTGCATTCATGGCTGTGGCTCGCTTGGCGGCATGATCCGCAGTCCTGTTACGAATTATGTCAACTACAGTGGAGCCGTGAGCTCTTGCCATTTCGTCATCGATTAGATGCTCAGGTATGTGTTCAAGCAAATGTGCTGGGATCCAAACAGCTTCAAGCGGCACTGGGACAATTTGGCACCTGGATTGCCACACTTTGTGAAGGTGATTCCACCAAGAGACATGAGGCCATTGGGTCTGCATTCTACCATGCTCGCACATCCATGAAACATGCTCAACCACAGTTTTGCAATCACTCCTAACAGTAATGGGGCCTGATGCACAAACGAAATCATGCAAGAGGGCCCACAACTCGGCAGAGTAACTGGTGAGCAGCCAGTGGTGAACAGGCCCTTGCGACACACTGGTCTAGGATTGTAAAACCTCTTCAAACTGGGGTGGTTTTAGGCACCGAATCCATGCGTTGTATTTAGTCCCGGCACCGCACCGAATCCAAGTTCGCCACCTCGGTGGAAGAAAAACGCAGGCTGTTCGACGCCTGCAGCGGTGTAAAAGATGTGTGTGTCTTTCTATCTTAAAACAACAACTCTTTGCCGGGAACAAACCAATCTCTGCTGACCTCTTGGCTGGAACCAGTAAAGAAGAATCACGTTCAAAAGATCAATGATTTGGACATAGAGGGACAGGGGCGGACAGAGGCGGACAGAGTAAAAACTTCAACACGCATTTGTCCATTCTGAATAGAGGCTCCGGGTTGTGCATATTTGTTGAGGGTGCTTAGATAAGATACAGGAAAGATGACATGACCCACATCATGGCAAGAGTTTTT